TATATATATATATATATATATATATATATATATATATATATATATATATATATATATATATATATATATATATATATATATATATATATATATATAGTTCATTCATTAAGGTTGAAACAGAGTCTACTGAGGTGGTTCCAATATTTACTGGGCCTTCAGATCCATCGTTTTGTGATCCATGGTTTGAAGGCCACTTCAAATCAAAATAGAATGTGGATAGACATTATCTAGCTTGAAACAATAAAACCAAAGAATGATTTATACTTAATTTTTTTTTATTGTAGAGGACACATCAAGAGAATTAAAAGAAGTATTGCCAACAAAATAAGAATTTTATCTTATCATGAACATACAAGAAAACACCTCAAGTAGGTACGAGCGCAAAGGTAGCAAGTCTTCTCCAAAAATAAAAGAATCTCTTCAAGTCAAAATACTGAGGATAGTTGACCTCCTCTGTTATCATCGCCATGAATAAAGAAAATTGGTAGAGACTACAAGTAGATGTCATTGACATGTAAATGCAATTTAGACGATTTAGGTGGACTCAATGTCTATGAATTTTAAGAGTAGTTCAATCCACTTAAATAGAAATGATCCAAAAGTGGAGATGTGCATGAACTAGGTAGGTCTTGAAATATAATGGATCCAGGAGAATCTTATTATTAGAGCCTAAAACCAATAACAAAAAAACATGAATTGTTAATGGCTAATGACACACATTTAGGAAAGAAATTTCTTGCATCTGAATTCAAAGCAGCATCTCTCAAGAGTTTGAAGGCTTTATGTTCCAAACATTATGTATCATCTTCACACAGTACTTGGTGGAAGCTGTTGCCATATGGTTTTTGTGCATCATTGGAACTGTTTTGACTATGAGAAACCTTTTACAGCATTACAATCACATGAAAACTTGTGTCTGTCAAAACTGCAATTCCAAATCTCTGGAGTCAATCAGAAGAACACACCCCACAACATTCAATCTTTTGATGATTTATGAAAAAAAAAATCTAGTAATGAACTTTTACCATATTTAATTTTTATCAGAACACTTATTTTATTTAAAATCTTGTTAATATTGTAGAACCAAATTGTATTAAGCATGATCGATTCATAGACCGATTCAATCTAGTTGAGATGTCTCGAGTTAAGTCAATTCGGATAAGATCCTTTTAGATTAAGTTGTGTTGGGTCAAATTTCCTCTACCAACCCATGAATTATCTCCGCTTTCTCCTCCTCCTACTCCACTTCTTTTGCATCATTTCCCTCTCAATTAGTTTCCTCCTCCATCTCCATCATCTCCTCCTCCTTTTACTCTACCTCTATCACCTCCTCTCTCTCTCTCTCCATTAGCTTTCTCCTCCTTCTCCCACTTTGTCGCCTCCTCCCTTTCTCCGTTGACTTCCTCCTCATCCCACTTTATCTCACACTGCACCTCCATCGTCACGTCCTTCTTCCACTCTGTCGCCTCCTCCTCTTACACCACCTCCATCTTTACATCCTCCTCCTACACTATTACCTCCTCCCTCTCTCCTTTGCCTTCCTCATCCGCCCACTCCTCCCCCTCATCATCTCTGCTTCCTCAGTCTCATAGTTTAACCTAAAATTTTTTATTACACTCGGGTTACAATCAAGTTACAATCATTCACACAATCTATTAAAGATATATTAATTTTTATAAAAAAATATTCTAAATTCATCATAAAATAAAAAATTAGTATAATTTGTTAGAATTATATTATAGTAGAATTCTCAAAGTTTTGATAATTAATTATCCTAAAATTATCTAAAAATAAAAAATATTTATTTTTAAGATAGGTTAGGTGATCGCATTTAACTTAGTTCAATTTTTAATGTAACTAGGCTAACATAGGAAATAAAAAATATATGATTTTATGATTAGTTTTATGATAAATTAATGAACATAACTTGAGTGTAATAACTTTTCTAAATAATTTAGGATAGTTTTATATAAAAATTAATATATTTTTAATGATAACTTATTTTTTAAATTTTATGATAAAATTAGGATAATTTTATATAGAAATTAGTATATTTTTAATATATTCTATATGAATGAGCGTAACCCAAGTGTAATAGTTTTTTTAGGTAATTTAGGATAGTTTTATAATAAATTTAATATAATTTTATATAAAAATAATATATATTTTATTACGATTTGTGCATGAGTATAATAACTTTTTAAAATAAACTATGAGAAGGAGAAACAGAGGAGGAGGAGGGAAAGGAGGGACATAAAAAGAAAGAAAGTAGAGGAGGAGGCCAAAAAAGAAGGGAGGTGATGGCAAAGTGTAATGACGAGAAGATGTGGAGTAGAAGATAGAGAAGAGGAGAAGAAAAGGGAAGAGGAAAATGATGAAGAGAAAGGGAAGGGAGGGGGAGGAGGAGGAGGAGAAGAAGAAGGAGGAGACAAAGTTGGAGGATAATTTGGAGAAAATTAAAAGACAATCTAGGATTCAATTGAACCAAATTAGATGATTAACATTTAGTTAAATCGGTCTGATCTGGTTCATCAAAAAAAAAAAAAAATCAGTTTAACTCTAAATAATCATCATCTTTTTATAATTTTATTGAGGATATTTTAATCAAAATAAAAAAAAATACTTCTAATAAAAAAAACAGAATGCCATATGTTAAAACTCGGTTACTAAAAACGTATGTTTTTGATAAATTACTGAATTATTTTCTTAAGCCATGTCTGCATCTCATTTTCTTGTTATGACTGCTAAGACAGTGCAACCTCAACCTTATAAAGCTGTACTCATTTACAGCCTTGTTAAGATGTAAGGAGTGATGCAGACTGTGCCTCCAAGAAAGCAATAAAAATGTTGTCTTATGTGCTTAACTTGTTCATAGGCCCAGAAAATATATAAAGTTAATGAACTTTCTGAATTGAATTGGTCACACTTTTTTCTTCTCAACGACTATTCCTTCACCTACACCCGTACTGATGTGTTCGTGTTCTTAACCCTATTTAGGGTTTTAAGATTGAACAAGCAAGTCGCAATTTAGGTTGATTCATTTCAGAAAATTTTCTAGGGTGATTCGACTGTGATTTTATTTTGGGGGGTCTAAAAATATCGACCACCTTTATGTAAATAAAAATGCAGTAATTTTCGTGGACCTTTTGCATAATAATCACAATGCTAGTTAGGTTGATCGTGATCCAACCTAGATTTTTAGGTGACAACCATCCGTCTTCTCATTGATCATATATCTTCAATTTGGAGATCAATGATTGCTTCTTTAAAGTGAACCTTTTCTTTTTTCTCTTTTTTTTCTTTTTTCCGTTCTTAGATACAAAAGATTTGATATAGAGATCTTTCTCTATCTCTTAGTACAACAGCTATTTCTCTATGAAGTACTGCACATATCCATATGATCATGACGAGATTTAAGGTAGGAAAAGACTTTGATGTTAACAACGAATAGTTTTTATTGCCATCACACTTCCATTTTTAGGTCTACTTCCATGGCATTTTAATAGTTTCAATAAGATGCAGGAAGAAAAACTGAAATGTAAAAATTCTAATTTTTTTAATAAAATAATACAAATGAGGAAGAATTTGTTAAATTTTACCATTACAACTGTTATTACATTGAGGCTGCCGACTGATGACAGCTTGGTTTGGTTCAGAAACTATAGATTCATCCTAGAGAGTTGACGTGGCGAACTATTATGGAGAGTCGACGTGAGGCGTGAGCATACAGAGCCACTTTGGAGAGCTGGCCTACGGAGATAGGCATGAGGCACCGACGTCGAGAGCAAACGTAGAGAGCTTCTTGCTTGTGGATGGAACAAACTGGTCTAGGAGGACGAACCGTCTTGCTCATGGGGGAGTCATCTCGTAGTACCTCCTTTGTTGCGCTGGAGATCCTGCATGACAGGTCAGCATCAAGGGATGTCTCGGCGTGACCTTTATGATGCTTAAGTCAGAGGGATAGGGGAAGAAAGAGTTAGCAATATTCAGGAAAGTATAGTGTTTACTTGCTTGCCCCTATTTGGCATGGGGCTCGATTTTTATAATGTAGGAAAATCTATGAGCGACATTACATACGTAGCGGAAGAATATAAAACAAAAATCTCAAATTTCCCAAAAAGGTGTTCGTCGTCGTGCGAAAATTGGTACGCAAAGACCCACGAAACTGAAAACCACGTGTGAGATAGTTGTATTACCTAGGGAGATCATATGTTCCTAAATTCCTATAGATCTGTAGAAACAGATAAAGGAGGTCAAGTGTCCTCCTCTCTAGTGGCGATCCACACGATAGGGGCTGCGAAGACTCCTCTCTAGCGACGATCCACACGATAGGGGCTGCAAAGACGCTCCTCAAATTGCTACCCAAATCTCCATACCTGTTGGCTAAGGAGGAGAAGGGGAGAGGAGAATAAGAGATGACAACTAAAAAATCTAGTCTATGGTCCTTTGGTTCCCTCTTATTTATAGAGGTCCCTTGTTAACTTAATGGATCCTGCCCTATTAGGTATTGTATCTCTACCAATTACCCAAGCCTCTTAGATTAGTAGGTCTCTATTCAATAATCTCTTATTAACTTTTATTAGATCTCATCTATATGTTCCAATAATTTAGGGGCTTAATGGATATCCAATAAGATAGGGGCTCTAGTAGATATATCATATCTGAACCTCTACTCATTGCAATATCTACCATATATGTATGACCTTTTAAGCCCAATATCAAGCTGACCGTGAGTTATACTTGTTAGTACTCCTTTTGACTCAATAAATTATTATCTTCTTAATAATTCACTCGACTTATCGACTGCGGACATACTAGGCCACTACGCCATAGTCCCGAAATGATATAGGAGAATCCTGTTAGGACTGAAATCGGTACGGGTGAATTAGTGCCTTCGTAAAAATTATGTCGATTCGAAAATCTCATTTGATAAAACTCATATCAAAAAGATATTAACTTAAAAATACGTTCATAAGCGTAGTGAAAGTAAAAAATCAATTTATAATGTAAATGAAAAATATAAATTAAATATAAACAAGATTTATAGTGGTTCGATCGTCGTGATCTACGTCCACTCTTGATTCCTCTTCACTTGAGGCCACTAGCTTCCGTTATAGACCCCAAATAGCTTAAAAAATGAGTGAAAAAAAATCTTATCCCAGGTTTCCCGGGTCTTGGCGGTACCATCGCTATTATTGGGTGGTACTACCTATCGACTGACTAACAACTGACGATTCCATATATCTCAGTCTAACATTGATACTAGGCAGTACCATTGCCTAGTCTAAAAGATTGTGACTGGCGGTACCATCGCCCAGACTGGCAGTACCATCGCTTGACATAGTCTGGGAGACTATGTCTAGGCGGTACCATCGCTATTACAGGTTACTGAATGGGCTAAACAATAAGCCTAATTCAGCCATGATTTAGGCCCAATGAGCCCCTAATCAAGTTGGCATGGTTACAACTAAAACCAACTCAATTAGACCTAACAAACTTGATCTAGACATACACGATTACAATCATGAATCCTTTGTCCAACATGTCATTGGTTCATCCAACGCTTTGTCTAATCCTTTCGATGTGTCGTCTTCTCTTGTGGTGTATTGTCCAATTGACATGTTGACCTCCATAATATCTGATCTCCTTAATGCAATGTCCGATCCTTCTGGCCCGGTGCCCGAACTCATGGCATGAAAACTTCTACCGACATGTCGACTGATCATCCGGCCCGACGTCCAATCTTCTTACATGTTACACTCTAGCTCAATGTCCAATTCCTTCTACTTTAATCGATTTGTCTTTTCTGATCGAAGTTAGTCCCGCATCACTCAAAATGTAGATTAGGTCGTAAACTCATTAATTGATTTCATCATCAAAATCTGAGATTCAACAAATCCAACCCTTTGGACCTATTTGTCCTTAGTTACTATGTACATATAGTCCCTCATCTATCTAATATCTTAGAGACCATATACCGGGTATGGTGTTGTCAGACTCATATAGTTTCTTCTCGAGTCTCACTCTAATAGGATTTTCCTGGAGAACTCTTTCTCTCTCAATCCAAATGACCTTGGCCAAGGAAACAATGTCATGAGTTAGTTTATGACTAATTGAGTCGATTTTGGGATGAAATAATAACAACTCAATTAGAGGTCAATTGGGCCTGAATTAGGATTGAATTGGGCATGTTGTTTGGCCTATTCAGTGACCTAGTAAGGTCTGACTATAGTACCACCCAAACTGTGTCTCCTAGACTATGTCAGACAGTGGTATCGCCAGATTGGGCAGTTGTACTACTTATTGTCAATGTCAAACTAAGCGATGGTACTGCCCATTATCAGACTGACAGGTGGTGGAACCGCTATTTATTAGTTTGTTAGGAGGTGGTACCGCTAAGATTTGAGAAACCCAGATGAGACTTTTTTTGCTCCATTTTTGAAGTCATTTGGGGTCTATAAATATCCCAGCTATTCTTGTTTAGAGAAGCACGAATTTGAGCAAAAAAAGGGGAAAGAATACCTGAGAAAAAAATTAGAAACTCTCTTAGGATTTAGAGTCTTTTCCTCCTAGAGTTAGAAGTTTTCTAAGAGAAGAGTAAGGTCTAAAAGAGAGGTGTAAATGTTCTCTCTCCTGTGAAAAGGAGAAAGAGTTGTAAGGGTAGTTGATCTTCGCCCGTTGAAAGAAGATCGGTAGTGGAAGTCGGTGGTCTCGAGTAAAGAGGAATCGAGAGTAGATATATGTCACGACTACCGAACCACTATAAATCTGGTTTGCATTTACTTTAAACTTTCATTCTATTTCTTACTTTCACTATGCTTAAGAACGTTTTTTCAAGTTAACATCTTCCCGATATCGGTTTTCATCGAACAAGAATTTTTAAATTGATGAAATTTTACGTAAGCACTAATTCACCCTCCATTTTAGTGTCGATTTCGATCCTAATAATATTGTCCCGAGGTTGACAACGATGCTGGGTGATCGGGATGGCATTCTCTGTCCGACCTTTTAGCCGCTGTGCGTTAAGCAAGAGTGATCCCTCCTTCGGTCACCTAGAAGAGAGGTGGGGGAGGCGAACCATGATGTCATCCATTAATGCGAGGGCATGATCTTTTCTTTAACCGTGGTGTCAATAAAGAGTAGGTCTTGCGAGCTTTTTTTGGGAAGTCAGGACATGCATGGATCGTGAGCTGATCCCTTGTTGGCGGCTATAGAGTATTGGTGGGAGCTTTCATACTTTTACTTAAGTGGCCTTCTCGATCCGAATTGTGTGATGAGTTGGTACTGCTAGTATTTTTCCTATCAATAACGTTTTTTAACCTTCAATGGAATGTCAACTTACATGCTGTTATTTTATACTTGCTATGTTTATCTATGACCTACATGCCAACATTAATATGTTTTTGTCTTTATTTCTAGATGTTGATCAAAATTAGGATACATTAACCACAACAATATTAGAAGCCTTGGAAGATTGCTTGTCCCTTCCTTTATATACTGAAACGATGGGGCCATGCATGTGATTTTTAAATGCGATGATCTGGCATCTCAGAATTCACCGTATCGGCAAAGATGCAGAGTTCCACCGCAACACACACACGCAATCTATTACTGTGATAAATAATGCAACTATCAGCATGACAATTCGTCGTGCATGACCTACATATAAGTAATATGCCTGATTTTGTGTAACTGCAAAATATACTTTAAAAAGGATGAATTCATAAAAAAAATAGTTGGTTTTAGAAAGTATCTCTTATTTTCAGGAATCTGATTTGGAATTAACATGCTTTTCTTTTTGAGCCGATCTCAAGATGTATTTCTTTGAGAATCATCTAAATTTTATTTACATCAAGAAAAATTTTAATAATAACTTTCCGATGCTTAAATCAATTGATAAATTGGACAAGTACGATGAACATATTTAGTGTGCCTAGAGGCCCCTTTTATAGTGGGCATTCTAAGTTGTTACAATCATCTATTGTATGTATCGTACGATTAAATTCGAGTGTAACTATCGTTTGCCTATGTTGAACTCGGGATTATGAAGTCTTTCAACATATGGCATTGATCGGACATGACCAATTGTTTTATATATATATATATATATATATATATATATATATATATACACGGAGATATGTATCTCACGGTCTCGGGGAGTTGTTCTACTCAGCGTTCAGTCTCCTGTGACTTGGATTTGTTGTCGGGCAAAATAATTATGACATGTTTGATGGACACACTTATTCCCTCCCCCCTCTTTGCCAGCAATAATTGGTTGGGCATACACTTCAAGTCTATGTCACGTTCGACGAATCGGTGAAAATTGGTTCACGTCTCCTTCCGTTTATTTAATGGTAAAAAGCGAGGGACGTCTTCTCATTGTCGAGTACAATTAGTGTGGAATTGAATGACGATAATACGTCACATTCATCTTAAAGACTCCAGCCATGTGATTGAATGATACTGCTCGGGAATTATCGTCACATCCTCAAATGAAACGCAGCATTTCTTTTTGATGTCATCTTTGGCGACGAAGACGATATTATCTTTTATTGTCACGAAAGTAAAAGCATGCCAATTAGATAAGAACATTTGTTCAACGGATCATTTCCCACTTTTATTGAAGGGAAAGTTCAAATTTGAAGTACTATTAAAAAAATTCAAATCAATAAACAATATGGTTTTTCTTGTATTTTGCGATAGGGTTAATCTACGGTATGTGACCGAGAAGCCATGAGGGAATCTTTTTCTATCTCATATGGCAACAAAGACCAATCATTGAACGAATAATTTCCCACATTGTTCTGATTTTTATGTTTTTTTGATGTCACAAAAAAATAATTGGATCAGACACAGAGTGGCCACTTCCTTTTGCTATATAAGGACTTGGTAATAGGAGGAGAGGGCCCAAAGGAGAGATAGGAGGAAGAGCTATGGCCAGTGAACAGATGGCGGAGCCTCTGCTTGGGAGCGGCAAAGAAAGAGGAGACTTGGAGGAGATCAGGAGCTTGAAGCAGTTCCTCAAACAGTGGGTGGAGGAGAACAAGAGGCTGTGGTACTTGGCAGGCCCCTCCATCTTCACCTCCATCTGCCGCTACTCCCTCGGCGCCACCACCCAGGTGTTCGCTGGTCATCTCACCACCCTCGAGCTCGATGCCGTCTCCACCGAGAACATGGTCATCGCCGGCCTCGCCTTCGGCATCATGGTAATGCAACCGATCAGATCATCCTCTCTTTCTTGTCTCAATATCCTGCGCTTTCTACTTTCCCAGATAAGAACAATAGTAAGACATAGTTATGTTCATGGATATGCATCCGATATGTATATTGGAACCTGATATTATCCTGTCATGTCATGGAATCGGCTGTCTTTTATTTGGATTTTGTGGATCCAATCCATTGTTTTGAGTAGTTCAAATCAACCTTGCTGCTATTTCTCTTTCCAATCTCCTCTGCTTTGATCAATTGCAGGATAAAAAATGCCCTGTAACTCCTAGAAATTAATGATAACTCTTGTCCTTATGCTTTTATTATCTTTTGGAGGGTAATAGAAGATTATAACAGATAATAATTTTATATTTTTAATATATTTTAATCCTCAATCGATTTAAATATATAATTTAAGTATAGGATCAATTAATCTATAGATCTGATCACGGCCTCTCGCCCTCCTTACTGCTGCCTTAGAGATCTTCAGATCAAGCCCCACTCTTAACACTTGATTTTGATTTCCCACTTTTAGATTCTAGCATCGTCCGACTCCTCATATCTCCACCGTCTGTAATTTCACATATCTAATCCTCCCTTATGTACTTCTCAATCTCATTCATTAGATCAACAATAAATCAGATCTTTACCAACTGTGCATCCAAATCAGTTAATTCTATATTTCTCCTTTTGTATCACAATATCTTCGTCTTCCTCATCTTTATTTGATATTTTTATTATTATTTTATCATAAAATAATAATTAAATTTAATTTATAAGATTTATATATATTAATATAGTAACTCTCCAAAAACGATAACTATGCATCCTAACGAGTACAATTCATCAACCTCTTCTTTGGATATGATTAATCATACTACATTGATGACTCTCTTGGTTGTCCGTGAGAAAAAATTTAAATATTATGAGAACATATTCCAATAACAAATTCTAATCATAAGTTATGACTATGATAAGAACATTTTATTCTACAAGTCATTCAAGGCTCAATCGTTAGCTCTATAACACCACTAATCTCTTCGTGTAGCATTACAGTATAATATGGTCCAACTTATAAATTACTTTTGTCGATCACTCTCACACTTGTATGCTAAGTTTTTATCTACTATAATGAAAATAAAAATAACATAAGAGGGAAGTACTATTGTTGAATATATATACAATCTAAAAGTTATTAAAGATGAATTAATTTTAATAGGTCATTCCGAAGAAATCATTGTTCATACTCTTGATGACTTATGAGACAAATATAAAAAACTAGCGATAGTAATTCGAGCATATGACTCACCAATATTATTTAAAGAATTGTATGACAAGTTGATTGATCATTAAACATATTTGAAACGGAAAAAGAGGAAGACAGGACTAGCTACTATAATTTAATTTAATAAAAAATCTAAAAGAAAAAACAATCAAAGAAACAAAAATTTTAATATGGGACTGAACAAGATACCTCCTTGATACATCGATAACACACAAAGTCATCATCCTTCATTACACTATTAATTCTTCAATCATGATGACAATTTCAAAGTAAATAATTCAAGAAATAATTTCAATAATAATCACTGCAACTATCGATGGTTTTATGATAGTTTTATCATCCAAATAATAACAATCAACAAAAAATCATTAATTAGCTCTATGATAAAATTAGACATTTAGTAAAAGTTTATCGATCTCGACCCAAACCTATTGTTATACACAAGCTCATCTTAACTACTTTGACTGTTCATCCAAGCAATATAATTATTAACTTTGGTACTTCTCATTATATTACTTTTGATCTATAAAATTTATCCATTTACATTAATTATAGAGACAATGAAGACATTATCATTGGTGACGGTAATAGAATCTCTATCACTCGGTTCCATAATACTTAATACACACACAAACACTTTTACGATTGATTATGTTTTGCATGCACCTCATTTCAAAAGGAATTTTATTTTTGTTTTTCAATTTTGCAAATAATATAACGTTACTATTAAGTTTTTTTCCTGATTCTTTCTTATAAAGAATCTGAGCACAAGAATATCATTATTCCGAGGCTAGAATAAAGACAATATATACGAGTAACCATCAATTTCATAAATCATTCCATTAATCGTTCATGCTTTAGTTACTGTTCTAGTTGATATGTGGCATTGTCGTCTTGGTCATTTGTTATCCTTCATTCAATAATAGCTAATTTCTCGTTATTCCCTTTCAACTTCAAAATCAAATAGAGTTGCAAATATGCTTGCATTAATAACAAAAGTTGTATAGTACCTTTTGAAATGTTTTTTATATCTTATATTTAGTCATTTGAAATTATTTATATTGATGTATGAGACACTGTCTCAACCATTTCCTATGATAATTTTAAATTTTTATGTAATTTTTGTTGATCGCTTCACTAAATATAGATAGTTATATCCTCTCATTTTATAAAGATGATGAAAATTTTTTTTTCAATCTATCATTAAAATAATTTTCTCAGATAATAACAAGCTCTAACATTATATCTCTTATTATGTTGAAAACAATATCTCTAAGTCATCAACGCACCTCAAATTCTTTTACTTTCTAAGTTTAGTCATCCAGATGACGATCAACTATTGTAAGAACTTGCGATCCCCTCCCCTTCCTTCCCTTTCACTGTGTGGTCCAGCAGAGACGGAAATTTCATAGCTGTTCTGTACCTGCAATGCACTTGGCATTGTGCCCTTTGCTTGTGATCGTCTTCTTTTACAGTGTCAAATCGAGCGTCGTTGAAATGGAGACTTAACATCTCTGAGTTCTACTAGATGGGCATGGGAAGCGCCCTGGAGACACTGTGCGGCCAGGCCTATGGCGCGAAGCAGCTCCACATGCTTGGCGTCTACATGCAGCGGTCCTGGGTCATCCTTCTCACCACGTGCACCTGCCTCTTGCCGGTCTACCTGTTCGCGGCGCCCATCCTTCGTCTGTTCAAGCAGGACGCGGATATCGCGGAGCTCGCCGGGAGGTTCTCCCTGTACATGATCCCTCAGCTCTTCGCCTACGGCCTCAACTTCCCCATATCCAAGTTCCTGCAGGCCCAGAGCAAGGTCATGGTCATGGCGGTGGTGGCGGCGATCGCCCTCGTGTTCCATGTTTGCTTAAGCTGGCTTCTGATAGTCCAGTTCAAGCTCGGCCTCGTCGGTGCGGCAACCTCACTCAACATAGCTTGGTGGATCGTAGTGCTCGCACAGTTCGGCTACATTGCCATGGGTTACTGCCCTGGTGCTTGGAATGGCTTCAGCTGGGGGGCTTTCAGGGGATTAGGATCATTCGCCTGGCTCTCAATAGGATCTGCTATCATGCTGTGGTGAGTAAACCTCTCATCTTTAATGCATTGCACCAAGTCGTTGCTATCTCAATCATGCTGCATTACTCATCTACGATTTCTAGCTTGGAGTTCTGGTACTACATGATCATCATAGTCTTAGTGGGCCGCTTGGAGAATGCTCAGATAGCTGTGGCCGCCGTATCTATCTGGTGAGTTACTCGTTGATACATGATCGTAGACGTAGCCAATTGCTAATGCTTGATTCTCAACTATTTGTCTTGCACTGGCAGCACCAACATTAATGGTTGGGAGTTCATGGTGTTCTTCGGATTCAATGTTGCAATCAGGTAAATATATACTCACTTCCCTTTGTTTTCGAAGCACAAGAGGCTTAATTACCATAAGATGTTTGGTTTGGGTAATGGCATAGCGTGAGGATATCAAATGAGCTCGGAGCAAGAAGGCCGAGAGCAGCCAAGTTTGCGATAGTATGCGTCATTATGTCGTCGTTGACGCTGGGACTCATCTTCTTTACCCTCGTCTTGGCTCTTAAAGATGTGTATGGGATTCCCTTCACCAACAGCCCCGACGTAATCCGTGCTGTCTCAAGTCTCGCGGTGATCTTCTCCTTCACACTCCTCTTCAACAGTGTTCAGCCAGTCCTAACAGGTAGGAATTCACCCATGGCTTTCATATGCTCGTGAAGACTAAGTGCAGAGTACAGCAGATGGTGAAGATCTATATCGTTCATAATCAAAAAATTTGATGCAAGCGAGGCAGTTCTGATCCCAACTAATACAAGAAGCATCAGGAATCTGTGCTAAAAAAAATAAAGAGGTTTCGACTAATATGCTTGAGGTAAAAGAGACAGAGAGAGAGAGAGAGCTAATCCGGTGCAGGATTGCAGGTGTTGCAGTAGGAGCTGGGTGGCAATGGTTGGTGGCTTACGTCAACATCGGGTGTTACTACGCGTTTGGGATTCCCGTGGGCTGCTTACTGGCGTTCCATTTTGGCTTTGGAGTTCAGGTATACATGTCACAAGCTGGAAGAGGGTCTCCCTGGTGGTTTATGTTTCCTCCTCCGATCCTTTGCCTTGTTGTGAATGATTCTTATTGAGTCGAGTTCATTAAACGCAGGGGATGTGGAGCGGGATGTTGTCGGGAGTAGTCTTGCAGACCATGATAATTGTAGCCATGACAGTGACTACAAACTGGAACAAGGAGGTCTCTCTCTCTCTCTCTCTCTCTCTCTCTCTCTGACAGACATCTGACCGTGTCTTGATCATATCAGGCAATGGAAGCAGATTCTCGAATAAAGAAGTGGAGTGGTTCAATCGAAGAAACCAGTATGAATTATAGAACATCTGAAGGACCAGATAATCTTGCATAGTTCATGGTCGTCAGTATTAGCGAAGATGAATTCAATAAATATTCATTCAGTAAGAACTATGTTAGCTTTTTTTATATTTTTTTTTGTCAGAATATATTTTTGTTGTGTGCTACAAAAGGTTTAGAAATCTCACGCTCACAAATATCCATCTGAACTAATACAAAAACCATGAAAAACTATTTTGTTGTATTTGGAGATTTTTAGGAAACAAACGCGACTTCCATACCATCTTCACAATCTAATGGGGTGCAAACCTTATGCTAGTTCAGTTTCAACATCAAAAATCTAAGAGCAAATTGAATTTTATTATTCTTTTCAACATACAAAATCTTCACGAGAAGACGAAGAAAAAGGCAAGTTATATCAATTGCAGAAGAAAGAAGAAAAAGGTAAGTTATATCAATTGCTATCCATCTTTATATCTATAAGCCCTCTTTGTTTCTTACATTATGTAATTCTATTTAATTGGATAAGATATATTATATTTTTTATAAATCGAAAACTCTAGAAACAAAGTGAAGTTGCACGAATTGTTATCCATCCTCGGATCAATCAAGTCCTCTTTGTTTGTTAGATTATATAAAATTTTTTAAGAGATAATTTTGATAAGAAAGACTCTTATAATCACATATCTTAAATCCTTTATTCTCATTTATAGATAAATATGATCTCCTATATATTATATATGATACATGATCTATTCTCATCTCTTTTTAACTCATATTCCATCGCTTATAGTATTTCTTTCGATGATAGGAGAAAAGCTGAAGATAAGTCTAATTCTCTTGATCAGTATTATTGAGTTGTACGGATCAAATAAAAATATTTTTAATAGTATCGAAAGGCATGCATGCTAATAATATGATTATAATTTTATGTTTATAATTAATATTAGAGTTAAATTAATATTTTATATATTAAATATTATACTTTAAATATATATAGATATATTTTGTATTTATATTTATTTGTGAATATCATTCGCTAATGAAAAGTATTATTGATCTGGTTGTTCATCTTTCCTTCTGAGAAAACGAAGGTTTCCTTGCCCACGGTAGAAGGATCGTCATGAACATTGGGTTTCCTGTGTTGTAGCTGTGGTCAGAAGCGGGCGGCGACCTGATTGAGGGCTGTGGGCATTGCAGGCGGCCGAGGGCGATGAAGTCGTGCATCGCAGGAGTCGGTGGTGAGGATCTCTGCGGAACAGTGGCACAAGTGGGACTCGGCCGCGCACTTGGTCGTGGCCGAGTGCTGTACTCGGGCGTTGGTCGCGGCCAACAATGCCGAGGGCTGTGAGGTTTCATAACGCATGCGAGCGACAGACATCCGCACACAGTCGACGCCGCAAACAGCATCGCCGTCGTTCGATTGGGGACAGATGGTGACGGAGGCGACGCCCAACGACGATACAGCGTCGCGGCAGGGTTGTCCTCGGCCAAAGATGACGCTGCAACGAGGAACGATACTTCCCCGTGTTCCTTCGCTGGCAATGGGCGTCGCAGTGATGTTGGCAGCGACGACGCGTAGGACAGACGGCGGTGCAACACTGTTGATCGCCGATGAGGGATTGTGCAGACGTCGTGCACGACGGAGAGCGGCGGTGAGAAATCGCTGCAACTGCTCGATTAGGGGAAAGCCCTAAATTTCACCCGGTCAACTTCCCCAATTTTATTTTGATATGGTCAAAGTTCTATTTTGATCGAGCAAACTTAATTTTTAACTTTACTCTCGTCGAAGTTCTATTTGGTCAGATATGTCCAAATTGGTTTTTGACCTAATTTTGACATGCCTTGGTTAAATGTTTGACCAAAATCTTATTTTCGATCCTGATTTGAGATTTTGATTGGATTTTCATTTTGACTTTTGTCAAAATCTAAGTTTGATCCAGATCAATTTTACTTTTGGCTGACGTAATTGGATTAATATTTACTTTTGATAGCTCAATTTTGGGTTGTCCGATTAAAAAGGATTAATATGTCTAATTTAGGATTTCATATGATATTTTAAAAATAAATTATTAATTTTTTTTCTATTTTTTCATAAGAAATATTGATAAAATTGTAATATTTATGATATTTAAATTAAAATTATTATATTTAAATATTTATTTAGTTATTCATATACATATGTTTAAAAATTATGAAATAATATTTATTTTTTAATAAAGGCATGATCTTTATTTTATCATAATTATAATATTTTCTTTTATATTGATTAATATTTAATAATTATTATGATTATTATTATATTATTATATTATTTTTATATAAATTAGATTAATAAGAACTTAAGTAAATATTATTTATAATTTATATTCTTAAGTTTTATCTAACTAGTAGTCGTTAAAGTGGTATATTTATCATCTATAAGATATGAGATATAAATTATAATAAATATTTATCATCTATAAAATATTTTAAAATATATTTTATATTATTATATTAGTTATAGAGTCGCTAAAGTGAAATGGATTAATAATTTATAAAATTATATTAATAAATTAATTTTAAATTATATTAAAAATAATATTTATAAATAGTATATATAATTAGAAGATCTAGAATCTATTTTAAATAATTATATGATTGGGTAGGATGATATTATTTTAGGATTATATATCAAAAGTAATAATATTATTTTACAATGATGGTATAAATAAATTTTGAATGAACACTGGATATTTAATATTCCACTTATGAGTAAAATATAGATGAAATCAATAATCATATTTTGAAAACTTAAAGCATTAATATTATTTTATACTTTATAACAGTACTTCTTTCTAAGTATTCTAATACTTTTAATGTTAAATTATTGAAGCATTAATGTTAAATTTTGAATGTACTTTTGATTCAAATTATTGTTACAATATATATAGTCCACACTTGGTATATTACATCTTGATATAGTATTACTTATTGAAGGGCCCGTAGACTTGATTGATAAAAGCACTATAAAATAAATTAATGAAATGAATGTTTAGAAAAATAATAATAAACTTAGTCTAATATTTATAAGAACAATAATTGTAAATAACATCAAAACTTAGGATAGTGCACAAAAGTATTTGAGAGCTGTTGAAGACAAACATAAATATACTAATAAGTCATTAGTTGACACATCAACGAGAGAATTTACAACGACTTATGATGACACTCGAGGGATTTAAGATCATATCCCTAATATAACTGATAAAACCATAAAACTTAAAGTATTAAACATAAACGTAGATAATTTTTTTCTCATACAATTCATCATTAATTCTCTTCGTCAGCCTATTAATGATTCATACAAAATAAATAATGATAAATAAGGTTTGAATAAGTTAAGTAGTATGTGTATTTAGGAAGAATTAAGTTTAAGTCATGAACGATCTTATAATGTTTTGATTATTATTCTAGGAATTGGTAAAAAAAAAGGTTACAGCGTTATCCACAAATTAAATTTATTAGGTTTGAAACTATTAAGCAGACTAATAAAAAGAAAGTCATCATAGCAAAATATTTTTTTGGTCAGAAATAACATATAAAAAGGACTATGTAAGACTTAGTTTGAAAAAAAAAATATATAAACTTGACCTTTATATGATTTAAATTAAATATTATAAATATTTTTTTAATACTTTATAGATTGATTTTGGTACTTCAACTCATATTACTTATAATATGTCGATATTTTTTTTAACTCGAAACTAAAAGAACATGAAAAAATTATCGTTATGATAAATCATCTTAAAAAGAAAGACGACTTATGGCCTTAGATGAGTAATCTAATGGATCTTACATACATATGTTTTTACTAATTCTAGAAATTTAGTTTCTTCCTATAAAATTGATGAGTTATTATATTATATTTCTTTTACCGATGGTAAACTTAGTATATTTTATGATTCAATAAGAGTAAATTTTGAAATTCTATGTGATGATTTATACAAAATTAATTGAGTCTAAGTTTACAAAGTCATTGGTGATCTTGTAATCAAATTTTGGATTGAAATATAATTTTAATGATAAAATTTTCTATCTTGTCACATGGATATTTGAGATATTTCTCCAATAAAAGAATCAAAATATTGGTAAAGAATAATATTTTGAAAAATTTAGATTTTACTAATTTTGTTTATATAGATTGCATTAAAGGAAGAAAAAATAAGCACATAAAAATAATACTACAAGAAGTAAAAAACTCTTTAAGATTATTCATTGATATACGTTGACCACTTCATATTTTTTTGTTTCAATAGTAAAAGATATTTTATCATATTTATAGATAACCTATCAAGATATGTCTATATGTATCTAATACATAAAAAGTGATACTATTAAAATGCACATAAATGAATTCGATAGATATTTAGATAAAAAGTTAAATTATCAAATCTAATAAGAGAATTAAATTTTATGATAAATATGATGAGTCAGAATCTTGGTCTTTTTGTTAGATTTTTAGAAAATCGAGATATTTATACTCAGTATGCCTTTACATATATCTCACAATATAATGATATTGTTGAATGATAAAACAATATAATTATAGATATGATTGGAAGCATAATGAGTTATTTCTTTGTACTTGAGTCGATGTAAGGGTGAAACTCTTAGGATAGTTATGTATATCATAAACAAGATTCATAGTAAATAGATTTCTATTAGGAAATCTAGTTTTAGACATCTATATATTTACAATTGTCATACAGAGATAAGAGTCTTTAATTCAAATAAAAAAAATTAGATACAAGAACTATTTCTAGTTATTTTATTGGTTATTCAGAAAAATCCAGTAGATACAAATTTTATTACCTTAATCATGAGAAAAGTATAATCTAGTAATTTAATATTCTTAAAAATGATAAAATTAATTGGAGTAAAAAATCATGAAATATTAATTTTGATATAGAAGAAATACAAGTTGATGCTCGTTTATCATTCCCTATTCGAGAGATTATTGTTTCTCAAATTACTAAATAACAAAATAACATTAATGAACTCGTACATGATGTCGGTGCTAATGATCATGTAGAACAACCATAACATATATTTTTGAGAATATTTTAAAGAGAAACGAGACTTGTCGTTACTGATGATAATGTGATATATCTACAAAAATTAGATTATGGCATAGGAATCAAAAGGGACCTATTATCATTTTCATAAATCATTGAAAGCAATGATCCTAAAAGGTGGTACAATATAATAAAAGAAGAGTTAAAATTGATGAATCAAAATAGTATTTGAAAACTCATTGAATTACTCAATAATTATAAAAAATCAATTACAAATGAGTTTATAAGGTGAAACTTGACTCAAAAGATAATATCGAATAATATAAAGCCAAGCTTATGGTCAAAAATTTTTCTTAAAAAGGAGACATCAACTGTAATGAAATATTTTCTCTAACGAGATAGATGTGAAAATAATATTTTTGAATGAGAATCTACATGACAAAATCTACATTGAACAACTTGAAGGATTCGTATAAAATGAAAAAGAAAGTTAGGCTTGCAATTTTAGGAAATCCATTGATGATCTTAAATAAATTTTGAGATAATAGTATATAAAATTTTATGATATCATTACTTCCTTTGAATTTAAGAAAATATTATTGATCAATATATATATATATATATATATATATATATATATATATATTTGTAGGTCAATGAGAACAAGCTTATTATATTTGTCTTATATGTGAATGATATTTTACTTGTAAGTAATAATCTTGGTTTATTATACAAAACTAAGGTATTTCTTATTATGAATTTTAAGATGATTAATAGGAATAAGATATGTAGATGAGACAACTTATGTTATTCGCATTGAAGATATTTAGGGATAGATCTATATGATTGTTAGGAATGTCTTAGAAAAAATATATTGATCGAGTTTTAGAGAGATTTAGTATGTAGTTTTGTTTAGCTAGTGATCACCTATAAATAAAGATGAAAAATTCAATCGTCCCAATAATAACTTAGAAAGGAATCAAATGTTAGTTTATTATAACGAAGGATGTTTGTTATGAATACATAATTGAAAGTCTATTATATATTCAAATATGTACAAGATCATATATTAGTTTTATAGTTGGAATGCTTGATAGATACCAAAATAATCTGAGAATAAAATATTAAAAAGTTATAAAACAAAGTGATGATATGTCTATTGACAAACGATTATATGGTTACATATATGAAATTAGATCTACTTGAAATGATGGGATATTCATATGCTGATTTTATAAATTATCTTGACGATAGGAAGTCTATTTTGTGATTCATATTCATATTAGTTGAAGGGGCAATTTCATCTAAAAGTATAAAGTAATCACTTATTACATCATTAATAATGAAAGCTAAACTTGTGATATGCTTTGAAATCATATATCAAGCTTTATGGTTGTAGAATTTTATCTCCGGACTTAATGTGATGGACTTAATTACCAGATCACCGAAGATATTTTAAGACAATATTGTAATAGTGTTCTTCTCTAAGAATGATGGGTACTAGAATGGTTCAAGCATACTGAGATAAGGTACTTGTGGTTAGAGAATATATTCAGAAATAATAAGTGTTAATTGAAAACTTAATTACCACTTTGATGATTGATGATCTACTTACTAAATTTTTACAATCTTAAATGTTTAAATAACATGGTTGGGGTTTGTGAGCAACTCGTAAAAAATATGATGATATATTATTATTTATATTTATATTTTATTTAAAGTTACTTTTTTTGCTATCATGTTTATATTTATATGTATATATATTATAGTTAAATGTAATAATAAGATTGTCTGAAGAAGACAAAAGTTATAACGATTATTAAGGAATACATTACGAAAGATCAATAGTATCATGGTATATAAAAGAAAATATGACATTGATAACATATAATCATTATGATTTATATTAGTAATAAAACTTAATGAAGTATTATTATATTTATTGGATTTATTGACTTATTTTAAAATTCATGATCATGTGTAAAAAATTTTAAAATCTAATTATATAAAATTATTTTTAAATATTTTATATTTTATATTTTATTAATTAATGAATCATGTGAAACAATATTAAATTATATTATCATGTTTAATTGATAAGATATATTATAATTTTGATTGATTTTTTATTATGATTATCAACTAATAAAAAGAAAATTCATAGTAAGATGCCTTAAGGAGATGATGTGAGGACCTCTTGTTAATCATTTCTCCAAACCCTCTAATCTCACTTATAAATAAATAAGAATTCTTATGGAGTACAAAACACACATAATCTATTCTCATTTCCCTTTAATCCATATTATATTATTTATAGTGATCTAGGATAAAAAAAGAGAAAAATATTTTGATGTATCTAACTATAAAATATATTTTATAAATAATCTTAATGACATGGAAAGATACACATCTTAATCTCGATTTATTATTATTTGATTTCATATTTTGACATTAAATTTATTTTACATAATAACATAATTATAAATTTGTTTTACATAATAACATAATTATAATTGTATGCTTCCACTCTTTTCTCACAAAATTATTTAACTGTTTATAGTCACTTATAAAGAGTGTTAACCCTTGATCATGATTAATTTCATAACTATTTTTTGCTCAATATATTTAAATAAAATGTTTCAAGAACTAGGAAACAATTAGAAAACTATTGAAAAATCCATTACAACACAAAACACTAATCTGCCAGTGACCTAAAACTATTGAAAAATCCATTACAACACAAAACACTAATCTGCCAGTGACCTATTTGTCTTGACAAACCTAAAGATTAATAGAAATGCTACTATAGCATTACATCCAGCATTAGACATGAACCATCAATCAGTTGTGTATCTGACCCAAGTTCCACTAGCGCGCTGGACATAAGGAATAGCCAAAATGTGCAGTATGAAATTATTTACAGAACAAGATAGCTTTGTTAGTATCATCTGGGAAATCATATTCTCTAATCTTCTTTGTCATAATCCTCGTCCTCATCTATCTGCATTGTTAATTGTACAAGTCTTGATGGTTCTATGCTGATGCTGCCTACTCCATCGGGAACAGGCCAAGCTGGGTGCTGTTCTTGCTTAGTCTCCATGGGTGAAGTTGCAGCTACATCAGTAACTGCAGTCGAGGAAGGATGTTCACTCTGATGAGTGCTTTCCTTCTCTGCGTCTTCATGCTGACCTGGCAACGCCGAGGGGGCCTCATCATGTTCACCAAACATGCTGCTGTCATCCTCATACTTCACATATCCTACATCTCTATGCCTTGTAGGTGGTCGTCCTCTACCTCTTCCTCTGCCTCTTCCACGTCCTCTAGGGTTAACATTAGCATTTGTCATAGCCTGTCATAAAGTCAGCTATCAGAAAAAGGAAAGATCTAATTACTTTGCAGAAAAATCAAGCAAATACGAGCACATATACTACCATCTTAGAGGACCTTGACTGGAGATCCTCATTGCTCTCAACTTCATCACCATGTGGTAGTGTCTTCCTGACCGTTTTCTATGACAGTCAGTGATTCATTATTCATAGAAATAGTACCATGGTCGTAAATGAACATGATTAACAAATTACCTTCTTCGACAAATTCCTTTTTCATCTTCACAAGGTTCCATGCCACCAAGGTTTGGTACCTTGTTGACAACACCAGTTAAGAAATCATAAGCATTGTAAGTCTTCACACACTGTTTTCTGTAAAGGTCGGAAAAAGACAATGACGAACTATTACTAATGACATCCACTGTTCCAATCAGCTACAAACTTGTTTAACTTTTTAAAGAGAATATGTAAGATAGAATAAAAGAATTTGCTATAAAATAAGATCAGTTCATAAATAGGTTTACCATCAAACTTAAATTATTACGCACATAATAAACTGCATGTGTTTTTTGGTGAGGAGCGAGTCTTGAAAATTTGTCAGGTGGACCTTTCTCCTGCGCGATGTGATGATTTTTGGTTTTGAAAGCCCGATTTACATGGGAGTGTTTCTACAAAATTTGCTTATGCTTTTCTCCTCCCTAACCAATGTGGCTCGGTTGACTAAGGGGATTGGTGGCGCCAATTGTGGAAGCTACCATCGATACCTCATATTAGGGTGTTTTGCTGGAAGCTTTTACACAGCCGCCTCCCCTTGGCTAAGAGATTTGTCAAGATGGGGATGGGTGAGTCATTCCTTTGTCCTCTTTGTGCTGATGCCCCTGATTCTCTTGAGCATTGTTTCTTTTTGTGCTAATTATTCATCTTCTTTTGGCAGCTTGTGAACTAAAAACTTCATCTTAATTTGCTTGCTCCTTCATGGTGTATGGGTGAATGGATCATTAAAGGGGCTGATTTGGAGGGTGAACTGGGACTCAAGGTCACTGCCCAAGGGGAGGTGCTGGTTTTATATTACGCAGTGTGAGTGTTAAGCCTATTTTTGTTGGATGTAGGTTTTTGGAGAAGGGAATGTGTGGGATTGCAAGCGGTTGTGGTAGTCGTGGCTAGATTGCAAGCGGTTGTAGCTGAAAGATTTCGGCGAGTATATGTGAAATCTGATTCATTTGATCCTTATCAATACTTTAAAACACATTTTGCATGTTCCATGGTCCATTAGAAATGTTATTCTTCATATTTGGGCCGCGTTGGATTGTTTTGATGTATATAACCTTTCCATGTGTATAGGGAGGGTAATGAGATGGCCAATTGGTCGGCCAGGTATGCTAGGGAGTCTCAGTCTTTTATTTTTATAGAGAGGGGAGTGGCCCTCTTGGCTGAGTTTTTTGATCCACTCTAATGCTAGGAGTGTCTTTTGTAATCCTTTGATATAGTTAATCAAGTTTAGTTTCTTTGGGAAAAAAAAGAAAAGAAAACATCCCCTACCACAAGGTCACCTCATTTTTGAACATATATCTCTTTTTATTGTGCAATTAATACCAATTGAATTACATAACTAAAGCTGGATAAATGAATCTTCTCCAACTGTTTAGCTCTATTAAAGACCACATCCATTAATCAAAAAATCATCAAGATCACTAATATTTCTAACCTGGCTGTCTTTGCTCTTCCTGCCCCTTTATCACATAATATTTCTCAACCAACAAAACAAAGTGAACATTTCATCAGCAACTGCAATAATCATTATCAAATACAAATGCAACAACTTCATAAAATCACTTAAGACTTCCAGATCCACTTCTGATTTCTGTTAACACCAAAAGTTTCGAGGATCTCTAGACAAGTAGGTTAAAGGGTTGCATTGAGTTTCATTGTGCTGAATCTTCGAAAAAGCAAATTATTCTCTCCCAGAAGGCATCCAAGTGAAGGCCTACTTAACAAGTAATGCAATGTGGAAACAACATGCATGCCAAAACCAAGGTAGTAACTGATCCCAACTGATCTCAAAGCAGAACCGATATGGACAAGTTATATTAGTTCCACGAATTTAATGTATCCATAACATGTAAGTTTCCAACCCCAACTCACTGTCCCACAGTTGCGAATCACAGATTAACTCCCACGTGCTCACTCCCAGGCATTCAGACCTACCATTTCTTATAGAGTTCCTGAAAGCGACTCAGATATTGAGATTCATTTCTAGAAGCATATGCTTCCTATCACTTTTCTCGAACAAACTCTTTATGCAAAGCCAATTGTACATGTTTACTGCACATATACATAAAGTTCCTGATGGAACCTCAGAAATTATTGTTTCTACAAGCATGCTTCCTGGTGCTATTCTTGAATAAATACTTTGTGCAACATAAGTCAACCATACATGTTTACTGCACATGTACTATGTATGACATTCTTAACTCACCTTATTTTTCTAGTCATATTCAAATATCAAACATTGAGGACCATCATGTTTAACATCGAATTTTCAGACGGGAATGCAACCATAGTACAAAAATAAAGCAAATCCAAGTACTAATATTTCAGTCCTGATATCCTTTGTTAAACTTATCATAAAATTAAAAACAGTGACCAGGTTAGACAACTTAATAATTGTTCCTTAGATATGATAGCAATAATCAAATCTGCTGAATTTTAAATATGAAACTGCAAGTTCACTGAGGAAAAAAAAGGTGTGAATTTTCTTACAAGTGTGATGAATTCAATGTCTTGGCTCCCCTATGAAGGGTGATTTCATATGTCCTGTCACAAAGATCTTGCAAGAATAACTCCAAAGCTTTTGCTGTCAGTCAGTCAACAAAGAAGACATCAGCCACTCATAAAATGGCTGCCACTTCCGCAAATAAAAGATAAAAATTACAATATTTCAAAGATAAGAACAGAAAGTATTGGCAGAGCTCTACTTGTTCTTTCACGATACGCACATACTGAAAAAGAGGAACTTTATTGCAGTAACTTGCAGAAAGTAAAAGCAAAAAATCATAAGACAAACAAGTGAAATAAAAATCACATACCAAGATGAATACTAACCGATCACCTACTCATATTTCTGAAGAAAAAAAAAAAAACAGAATCAAAGGATTCCCTTTGATTGTCCCGGCAAGAAAGTTGCCAATCATAGTTCCTCGTGATATAAACATTGGCTTCTCTTGAAATGTCACTAATGCAATATATAAGCAAACTAAATTGCAACTTCATTAGATTCAGCATGGTTCCATGTACTTGTTCTCTTCAGTAATAATTTAAAGGCTTAGTCAAGTTAAAACATGCAGTAATCATACGAACTTGATTTTATGCATCTAATAGATACATGTGCACCTATAAAACATTAAGAAAATATGTTTTTGCCAAATTGGGCACACAATACAACTGCACCAATTTCTGAAACGTGGATTCTTTTTTTTTTAAATGAAATGCCAATTATAGGCAAGATATGGCTCAAAACTCAGCAGGTATTGTTAGAGGAGGCTAACTATATCATGATAAATACAACTTGATTTAAGTTGCAAATGATCTCAGCACAGTGCCATCATTCGAAGGTCCATGATGGTCAACTTATGAAAGCCAATGTGAAAAGTATTGTCTCCCCACTAAACGAATCTTGGTCGACGGTAGCAGTCACAGGACTTCCGGTGCATTCATGCCTTATTAGTCAACTATAAAATTTCTAGTTAAGCCTTCTATCTTTTGAATGTCAAATGAACTGGATATGCAAAGGAACATAAATGAAACAGACATTTATGTTTCATTAAGGTTCGAAATTTTCTACGCATGAACTGGATATGCCAAACCTATGCATCAAGGTTCGAAATTTTTACAGCTACTGGTTTCCATGAGAAATCCTCATTATTGATTAGTGCACAGGCTGAAGCAGGTAAGTGGCTAGTAGAAAAGATGTTGACAGCTAGTAGTACAACAGAAATCTAGCCAAGAGATATAAGTCATCACAAACCCAATAAACTATCATAGTAATGTCAAAGCAAAGCACAGGAGATATGAAGAAATAGATCCTTCAAAAGAACAATGAGGGAGCAGAAACAATAATGCAAGTTCATCTCTTGTAAACTAAATAATGAGATACAAGTACTTCATCAGAGACAAAAGAGTATTCTACTGCATGGTGACTAGAACTGCTCAAACACTTACAAACAAGAAGAGGCACAGCCGATGCAATTTTGCCAACATCTTCATCTGCTTGCATTATCTTCTTTATTCGTGACTGTTGAAGCAAAAATAAAACAAAAGGCATCAGTTCCAACTCATTGCTCAAATGACAACACCATAGACAAAGCACCAATTTATTTTCCCAATGGCATGACAATGTTAAACAAAGAAAGTACAATAAGTGGTTTCCTCTAGAAGATCATATACAACAACCACCATGAAAAATTATCCTTTAGTGATACTTCATTGAAGTAACTTCAGAAACAATCATCTAAATCACAAAAGTAAGCCGAAAAAATAATTTGTTCTGATAAGTTGGGTCCAGGATAGACCGTTGCACTAAAGATCAATAAATTTTAATCAATAAATTTTTAAATGTATAGGATAAGTGGGAGGTGATGACACACAATGACCAATCCTGAAAGACACTTACCTAATATACCAGAAGCTAATGGTGCGCTTGCACCATGACATCTACAAACATGGACAACACAATACAGGGAAGCAAACATAATCCATACGACACCAAATATTAATGTCATGAATTCATTGACTGTCAAGAAATCAATTAAGACTAAATCTAATTATAAGAAATATCCGAAGTGAGACAATTGACGAAGAAAAAGGTTCACTTAGTAATCATCAGATTACAAAATAATGTTATGAGTATATGCATTCAATTGTAACACAGTACATTTAAATCCTAGGTACATAGAGAAAGAAGCAAAGGATTGTTGCCAACAGTCCATCACTGACACAGAAAAGGAATCAATAACTTAAAATGATATGGAAACGCTGTGTATTTTATGTATGCTTCCCAATATATGGGAAGCATCCAAGGAAACCAAGCTATCTAAATTAAAAATCTGATGGACTGTCGGATGGATCTTTTGGATAGAACACATTGCTCAGACCTTAGGATTATTCAAGCACATAAGGTGAAACTAAAAGCCAAAAGCAGTCGTACCATACAAAAGAAAGATTTGGATGAGAACACTGTTCACCACATGCATGTTTCTTTACCACCATACAATGATCCACCTCATGTGCGTCAGACGTATCGGCAAAGGTTGCAACCCTAGGCATCACCGTGTCAGTGGCTGAAAACATACTCACCTGTCCAGTTTCTTCACTGGCTAATTTAATCCCCAACCGATGGCTATTTGACTATTATTCTGACATGCAGCACCACAATAATTCCCTAAACTCACATGCTCTCAATGCGCCCATGGTTAATGGAGAAAAGAAACATAATCAACAATATTGGAAGATCCAAAATGAAAACCTAATTTAGGGCCTCCTCGATCAAACGAGCCATGAGGCAAATCAGAGATCCCACAGAAGAAAAGACCGATTCACAAATCAAACAACAGATCCACCAAAAATCCCTCAAATCATAAGAAAGCCTAGCGAATCCGTCGTTCCAAACGACGGAAAAAGACGAATGGTCAAATAAGGGGGAATTACCGCAGGGAACCGAGTACCGAGCTTCTTCCTCATCTCCTAAATCCTCTTCTGCTTCCTCCTCCACAAATTACCGATCCAGATCTCGCTGATGGATGCAAATTACAGATACAGCATCAGCAAGGGTGAAATTTACGCGAAGCAAGGTGAAAAAAGGGAGAAAGAGCTTTACCGGTCGCCGCATATGATGCCGTGGTCTTCGATCGTGATCTATCGTTCCATCGATCATTCGTCTTTACCTTGCCCCTGCCTTCCCTTCTTCTTCCTCGTTTCGCTCTCGATTTCTATGTACGAAATAGAACGCGAGCGTCGGATCGGAAGGAGATTCGGGGCACGGCTTCGACCTTTTCCCCGTTTCTTTTTCATTTCTTGCACTTGCGGTTTTTTTTATTTTTTTAATCGAGATAATTAGGCAAGTCACAGAACACGTGGCCACATCCGCGAGACTGTCACGGTTACGATTCCGCCGTCAAATTGTGATCGTTGACTTTGGAGATATTCTAATTGAGGTCCTTCAAATTCAATTATTCTTGGTAGACTACCTAATCTTTTAACGAATAAATTTGGATGATTTTCTCAGAAAAAAAAAATCCTTTTTTCACTTTTTTTTTGAAAAAGCCTCCACATTTTTATTTTCTCTAAATCATACTTTTAATTTAAAAATATCCAAATTACTCCTAAGTTGTATTAGATGGTTGAATTTGGTTTAATCATTTAACCAATAGTTTGATCTGAAACAATTAAACAACGATTTCATATAACACTACATTCTATAAAGGACTATGGTCCAAATTAACTAAAGCAAACCTTTAGCTAATTCAATTCCAGACTATTTTTAGAATTAGAACAAACTTCATGTATTGCTTGGGTTAGTTCGGTTGACATGGCAAAAATTATTTTAATATTTTTCATTTAAGTTAAATGTAATTTATGAACTCTCATCTGACATAAAATATTTAAACTCATGTTAATAATATGTTTATTAGATTCTTATAATTCAATACACTTTTATTGTTGGACTAAACCTGAATGTGTCTTGTTTAGTGGCAGCTCCATCACACATTGCTCATGTATTACCATGTTTAATTGTTTTTAATTTTTATTTATGTTAAACATAATTAATCATAAGTAGTACAAAGGTTCAAAATATTTAAGTTCAAGTTAACAGTAATATACCATCAAACTTTTGTAAAACAATCCACATCTTTTTTCTTACTTATGAATTAAATCAGGATTTTTTTCCTACATCAAGTCATAATACAGTGTATATGAAATCTAGTTTAGTAGTAGTTTCATATTGTTCTAATCTCGCCTATGGATGCCTTTTTTTCATTTGAATCCCTCATAATATTCAATACTATTGATTCATAATATTGAAATTTAATTTATTAATAATAAATCCATCCACGACTGTACCCATTGAAACACTAAATCTGTAACACTGTTGCTTTTGAGTTTGAATTCATTCATCACTTTTGATAGTCGTCCTTTACACCGTGGTAAAGGGGTCATTACGGTTTGGTCCGATCCCGGGTGCGTAAAATTGTCCACGTTGGTGTTCGAGCGACGAAGATCGTCGTCTGATTCGATCAGGCTCAAACTCTAGCTTCGAAGATCGAAAACTCCTCTCGGTTGATCGCCTGCTTTTCTAGCGTCAGTCCCTGCACACGGGTTGGGGTTGGGAAGGGGGCTCTTGACTTCGATCCCTCTGAAGATTTAGTTAGAACTAGGTGAAAAAATCAATTCAGACTCCCCTGTTGGTGGCCCTATGATGGGTTTTTATCCTCCCGTTGGGGAGTCAACCGTACATGTCATGGCATCGGGCGATGGTGTTGTACTCGGTAACATCCTAACTTTCGCGGACCTATGTTGTACTTGGTCAGCGTTGTCCCGATCCTCACAGGACGATACTGTACTCGGTTGGAACTGTCCTGATTTTCATGGGACGACACTGTACTCGAGTGGCGCTGTCTTGCGAAGATCGGATGGCACGATACTCGAATGGCGTCGTCCTGCGAAGATCAGATGACGTGATATTTGGTTGGCATCGTCCTGACTTTCGCGGGGTGGTTCTGTAGTTGGGTAGCATCATCCTGCGAAGATCAAACGGCGCGATACTTGATCGGTGCCGTCCCGAGGGATCGGAACGGTATTGTACTTTGGTGGTATAGCTCGTTATACTGACCTTGATATTTTCGGAGTTATGCACAGCGGTTGAAGGGCAAGCTGTCAAAATATGCCCTATCAACTAAAGTTTTATATCGAGTCACTCGCGGTACTCGGTGTCCGCATTTGCTATAGATGTTTGGTGCCTTCTATTATATATAATATGATTGATTTCTCCCTCGGACGAGGCGTTGGACCAAAGTATGATGACGATGGAGAAGGTAGAAAGAGAAAATATGAGACAGTGACACTGCAACTACCCAAATGGTACTCATTTCATCGGTCATAAATGCTTGATGAAGGCTCTCTTGATTTATCAACCTTCTCGGCTTCCATCCAATTTATTATTTATTCATAGGAACCGTGTAATAGCTTGTGATACAAAGTTTAAGTCCGCTGCCAAATTCAAGGATTTCATATATGTGAATAACAAATCATAGTTTATTAATTAGATACGAGGAACACAACATAATCATAACAAGCTTCTACTTAATCCTCTCACCTAAGCACTATACTTTACTCTTATTCCTATTTTCTAACAGATTTCTTCGTTGACTAAATGTCGAATTCAATTTTTTAGCTCACAGTTCACAGTCGACCGTCTCAACCAAGAGAGAGAACTTAACTACATGGAATTCTGAAAGTAGATCTACCACCATAAGTTTGTGACACTGACACTGTGAAGAACCTTCGTCGCTGCTGCCATCATCATCATCATTATCATCTTGTTCTTCCTGTTGTCTTAAATCTTTAGTTAGACTCTTGCAAATACATTATTATGATTCATATTATATCATTACCTTCCCAATTTGGTTAGGCAAAAGCCACAGGCAGAATTCTCAAGTAGTACCTCTCGACGTCAACCACTACCCATTTAATTGCTAGCATCCAAAGGCCTGCCATTTGATTCCCATGGCCATCGCCGGTAGTCGAAGCCGACCGCTCATCCGCCTATGGGTTGTCCTCGCCGCGGCGCTGGGGCCGGCGGCTTCCTCCGCCACCGGGCTCGGCTTCGAGTTCCACCATCGGTTCTCCGACCGCGTGCGGCAGTGGGCTGAGGCCCGCGCCATCCCCGGCGTCTGGTGGCCCGAGAAAGGCGCCGCCGAGTACTACGCCGCCCTCGCTCACCACGACCGCGCCCTCCGCGGCCGCTCTCTCGCTGACGCTGGCGGCTCGGATCTCACGTTCGTCGACGGCAACGCCACCGTCAGGCTCAGCTCCCTGGGATTGTAAGGCCCATGTTTCCTTGTGCTCCTCTTCTCCTCTTTCGGGTATAGGGCCTGCGAGTCCAAATTGTGATCTTTCTTCTCCGAAAAGATTGCTCTTTTGATCTGGTTGAATATTTGGAATCAGCTTGCATTACGCGATTGTGGCGTTGGGGACGCCGAATGTAACGTTTCTGGTGGCGTTGGACACCGGGAGTGATCTGTTCTGGGTGCCCTGTGATTGCTTGCAGTGCGCTCCCACAGAATACGGAGTAAGCCTATCGAATCCAATCCTTCTCCGTTCTAATCCTCGAAGCAGCTTTGTTGATCGGTAGTCCTGCTTGTTGGTGGATTAAAGATCACAAAGTCACAAGGTCTTGGAAACATCGGTTGAGCATGCCATCTTTGTTGGCATGATACACTGTTTTTAAAAAATGCCGGATTTAATGTTCATCCTTCTGATTGGAATAGTTAAGAGTGAACCAAAAAAGTTTAGAGATGGATGAGAAGCTTTTATTCCATTTTATTGTTTGTTTTGGTACTTATATCTGATTCATGTATTGAAATTGCAACAGAACCTTATGTTTGACATATACAGTCCCAGTAGATCATCGACAAGCCAATCCATCCTCTGCAACAACAGCTTATGTGACCTCCAAAATAGCTGCCCTGGAGCAACCAGCAGTTGCCCTTACATTGTTCAATACTTATCTGAAAACACTTCATCTTCTGGAGTACTAGTTGAAGACATTCTGTACCTGACGATAGAGGACACTACTGCTCGAGTTGTTGAAGCACCAATTGTATTCGGGTAGGTTGCCTTCAAGAAGCACAATCAATTTAGGCTTAAACTGGCTAATTGTGTTGGTAACTTTCTATCTGTTGAATCCTGCAGTTGTGGAGTGGTTCAGACTGGTTCATTTCTACGCAGTGCAGCTCCTAATGGCTTGTTTGGACTTGGCATGGAGAAGATATCAGTGCCCAGCATTTTGTCGAGTAAGGGATTGACTTCAAATTCTTTCTCCATGTGCTTCGGACGTGATGGTTTTGGTAGAATTACTTTTGGACATAAAGGTAGCTCAGACCAACAAGAAACTGCACTCATTATTGACAGCAGACAGTAAGTGTCATTGTTATCTCTGCTTTATTTCCATTACATTGTGGTTGGATCAATGATTCCATTGACTTTTTAGCATATCATGTTCATATAACTTTTGAATGTTTCTATGCAGCCCATCCTACAAAATCAATATAAATGGAATAATAGTCGGGAATAGTTCCACTGACATGGTGTTTAGTGCTATTGTCGACTCTGGTACCTCCTTCACATACTTGGCTGATCCAGCTTACACAAATCTCGCTGAGAGCGTAAGATGTTTACATCTTGACAAGGTTTAAAACCAAATTTAGATTATTTAGCAATTATGAATCTCTTGTTTCCTTTTTGAACAGTTCGATGAACAAGTTCAGGAGAAACGGTACAAAGCAGATGCAAATGCAGGTTTTCCTTTTGATTATTGCTACGAGTTGAGGTCATCATATCTACGATGAAACAAGCCAATCACTTGAAAGTTTAATCCTTTATAGACATTATCTAATATATTTGCTGATGATTTCTGCAGTCCCACGCAAACTACAATCTCAGGACCTAAAATAAATCTAAAAACAGATGGTGGAAGTGCTCTTCCCGTTAATGATCCAATTATTGTGATTGAGATTCAGGTAAATTCATCAATATGTTATCTGTCTATTCTAGCAAGCAATATATGAATTTATTTGCTTGTGTTATGCAGAAAATGCAGTCTGTATATTGCCTGGCTGTTCTGAAGAGCACTGGACTGAATATAATTGGACGTAAGATTTCCATACACCCTTTGCAACATATATCAAAATTTCTTATTTCTTGTTTCATATTGAAGATTATAATTTCCTGGTAGAAAGACAAAAATCTTGATTTTGAATCATAAGTGTACTTTACTCCTAGTTATTTCATACTCTAAAACTTCAGGGTGATATAATGAACAGAAGATCTTAAAGAAGTTCGAGAAAAATATTTCTAATCTATATCCTCCTAGACTAGATTTTGTGCAGTAAATGATCTGGCTTTTTTGATAATAGGATTAAATACTGAAGAAAGTCATTTTTCTCCAATTAAATCTGGAATCTGACACAAATTTACATGCTTTCATGCAGAAAATTTCTTGACAGGGCTTCGCGTAGTCTTTGACAGAGAGAGGCTGATCCTGGGTTGGAAGAATTTTGACTGTAAGTATACACCCACTTCATAACATATTTCACAAGTCAACTCCGAAGCAGATTTGAGTGAGATTACCGATCCTTAACTATGCAGGCTACAGTTTGGAGAACTCTGGCAATCTCTCTGTGCACAATTCTTCCACAACTCATCCAGCTGCTCCTGCACCAAGCACTTACACTCAGGAGGCCACAAAGGTCAGGAGCAATACTGCTCAGGCTCCAGCAGCAGTTGCGCCTTCAATCCATTCATCACACTTCTTTACAAGTCTCTTCCTGACATCTCTAATTTTCTCTCTGGTCAGCCTCTAATGATTTCATTTCAGACTCTAAGCCTCATACCAAAATTCACACAGGGAGCTCAGTGATTATAATGTTTTCTTTTTACCTTAATCCTTACTATACTTCCAGTCCCATGAATTATCTGATGTATAAATTGCAATTGATGCCAATAGAAATCATTCCATGTAAAGATAGATGTTATAAGTTAGCTGTCTGTAATTCTTGCTAGCTACTATTAAATGTCAAACTTATATAAGAAAGTCATCTTTCTGCGGAAAGAAAATCCACATTATGGTAGCTTATGATTTACGATTATTGTTTCAGCATAACAAATCATGCCAAATTTCTCATGACATTACTAAATCCTGCTGGGAAGAAAAATGAAGAAAAAATAGTATGTTTCTTCTGATTAAATTGAGTTTTTTTCTCCATTTTTCATCTTACGTTTGTGTGTTGTCTTTTAAGTCGATTTTCTATAAAAAATGAAAATAAGAAAATTATGTCAATATATTCAAATTTAAAGATAATCCCTCTTCCTATTAATTTTGGGTAGCAAAGTCATTTTGCTGATGAAAATAAAGATGGAGATATAGATAGCAGCATTATCTACGGGCCTTTTTGGCTGCAAGGACACAAAACAATAATATCATCACATAATACTAACAAAAGCACAATACAGGAAAAACTTTTCACTTTTCTATGGGCATTTTGGTTGCAGGGAAACAAAAAAATAATATTTTTTATTAAAAACTTTTTATATAAGATAAATTAAATCTTTTTGTATTAGAAGAATAAATTATTATTTTTTACAACAGTCCTATTCGGAAGACATAACGAAAAGTTATCAAATGAGGTTATGAGTTCTCTTTATTTTTTTAAGTATATCTTATGTAATATTTCATAATATTTTCATATACAGCAACCATGTTTTTCCATACCAGATTAGTATTTATACTACAAATACGTTTCTCGTACCAAATGGGGAGTAGCGGCTCTTGATCTCCGTATCCTAATCATCCTACGGCAGTGGTTTTCTCGGCCTTGATGGTAATTAAATGGTTGGCAAGGGGCTATTAACCGGCCAAAAATCGAGACGGAGCCCTAAGCCGGAAGGAGACCAGTTTTCCCGGCTCCATCGAAGGATTGGCTGATACAAGATGAAGCGGTCTGCGGAGGTAAGGCAGTGCGGGGAGCCCACTCGATCCCCTTCTTTCTTTGTATTCGTTTGTGTCGCTTTCCTCGGGTTTCTCCTCCGCGCTGACTGGTTCGTTTGGGGTCAATATCTACGTGTTTGTTCAGTTTTATTTGGACCTCTTGATTTCCAGATGCAAGTTGGCCCAACTTGGATCCCTTGTTCCGTTTTCTTATCTACTTAATCCTTTTCCATTTGAAGTTTGAAACACTGAAGGACCAAGATCATATATGCACAGAGTATATGCTTCACCTCGAATCGGAGATTAGTTAAGCAGGTTTTATGATCAAGTGTTTCTATATCTGAATATTGTTAATGCTATCTCATTGCAGGTTGTGGTAGTGGGAGGGACCAAAATGGACTGGTTCATGCTAGTGCCATTGAAGCTTAATATTGACCTCAGATGCAAGATTTCTGCTTTGTATTTGGACAGATGCTTGCTCTGAAGAGTATTTTCTGTCTTGTAGCGCTGGATTATGGATAGGAGTTCTAGTGTCATGCTATAGCCTTACAATGTATCTTTATGATCCCAATATCTTAGGCAGCTGTTAGTTTCATCATAGGTAGACTAATTGTAGGATCTAATTAATAGATCGGTATATTCTTTTATTATTTATTGATAGTGTGATAAGTGCTTAACCATCTTGTGCATTCTTACTCATGAGTTACCCATTTTGATGGCTGTAGTGCTATCGTGTCATAACTATATTTTAGTCAAATTAACATGTCTAATAAAAAAATTTGACAGATTTTTGCATTAGGTTCAGCTTAAGATTTTCCGTGAAAGGCTTTGTTTTGGCATTTTATGTTATTGCAGACGTTCTTTTTCTTTCCTACTTTATGTTTGGCTTCTTGTTTTAATTAAATCCATTATATGAGTATGGTAACTCAAACAGAGAGCAAGAGTTCTAGTCAAGTCATGAGAAACTAAATTAATGTTTGAAAGGGTCCTGTTTTTGGGTTGTTTGGTGTATTTGCATCTATTTAAACTTGTAACATAATTCTGTCTATGTCGAGTTCTCTATACTATTAAATGGATATGTCTTCGCAAGAGGCACTTTGCTGTTTATCTTTCTGGCACTAATTATGTTAATAATCTGGACTTTTTCTAATGAAAATGCTTCCAACAAGTGTTCAATTCAAGACTGATTATTTTCTCTTTGTTTTTTTTCTTTTTTTTTAGTTGCTACCTTCTGTTTCTGAATCCTATCTCCAAGCCTCATTAATTGGCCCACATCGGCCACTACAAAAGGGTATCTCCGCACGCAAATTACTGTTAGCATATTTGGATTTTTCATGCTGAAAAGAGCCTCTGACAGTAAGTTCAACTCTCAACTTGAGAGTTGAGACAGCTCCATTTGTTGGAGCTATTCTGGTAGTCAGCATCTACGCTTCAATTAAAATCTTTTTATTTGAGAAGAAAGCACAGAGAGTAGAGTGCTGTCTCAGTTGCTCACTGTGAGTTTTGCAAAGTCTGATAGAGAAAGGATGTTGTTGGAGAGTTTACTGGCATGTTTACTGATTAATTTCTGAGTCAGATAAGGATGTCAGGTATGTGGTTATAGCTATTTTGCTTGCTTGCTGGTATACTTATCTGGTATTTGAATAACAATATATAGATTCTTAACTATAATGCAATTTCCCATTGATTGTATCTTGAAACAGTCACATGCTAGTGTTGGTATTCTGTTCTTGTTTGACAGAAAACCATGAGTGTTTAATGAATTTATTCTTTGCAAAATAACAAAAATCAAAGTAATTTAAAGCATGATTTTAGATCTGAATACTGGGCAGCGTGCAACGTAAGGGATCAGGTGAGAGAGAGGTTATAAAGAAGACGACAACAGTTGTTAAAATTTTAAAAGAAATTGCTGCAATTATCAGACTAGTTCGGGCGAAAAACCCTTCTCTACATACCGGTTCAAGACTGGACCAATAAACACTGTCTGGTATGTACCAAAATTTGATACCATTGAAGAAATATCACAATGTTGCTAAGGAAGCAGTCAATTGAGATCCTCCATTTTAGTAAAGATCAGTTGTTAATCTGCTTTAATGGGATAGCAGTAAGGGAAATGTCTGCTTAATTAGTTGTATTCTACCACATGAATTCAAGAGGTTGTTTGGTTTTACAGGATGGATATATGCTGGCTAACTGCTTTTGTAACAGAGAGGCAAATATGGGCATACAGGAGTAAGGGAGCATGATATGATATTACTGACGCTGCACTGAAAGCTTGCTAAGAAGAGATAGAGGAGTTCGTTGTTATCACTTTTATGCTCCAACAATGTAATTATATATTTTTAAGATATCAATGTTTTTACAGTCTGATCACTATAAATTTGACTGTAGTGATGATGATTGTGGAAGCAGCAAGGTTCACTGATATCTTCTTGTAATTGTGTGGTTATCATACAATCATCCTTGATCATGACTTTGTTTGAATGCATTACTTTTTTACTTTTATTGTGAGATACGTGGAAAGCAACTTCCATCTTAGTTTTGGATACAAGAGATGATCCCAATGAGGTAAAAAGTTGTGGTAAAATTTCCGAGATGATTTATTTCCTCTCTTCACAACAAAGCAGGTGGATGAAAATAATAATAACTTCGTTATATTGTTGCTTGCAAGCTGTTGTTGGAAACATAGGTAAACTGAATTCTGATATCAACCTTTTTTTAACCTACAACTTAGTCTGATGGATCAATATGCATATTAAATATAAAAATAGTTCTTCAATATGAAAGAATTTTTTTCTGGGCAGTTTATGTGGTTTTTGTGGCCTTGGCTCTGAGTTGTAATTGCTCAACTTATTCCCTCTTTGACAATGCAGGTTCAGGGTTTCAAGCCTTTGTCAATAATTTTCCTGGGTGAGGCAAGTTTCAAGAGACAAAGCCTTAACATGGATTTTATCTTCCCTCCTCTTTGGAAAGCTTGTTGAGAACAGTTGCAATCTGATACCAGATTCAATGGCTTAGAACTATGATTAATTATGTGAAATCTTGTTCACAAAATGCTACAGATCCAGAACTGTTTTGATAACATGGTCTTGTTCCTTGATTTCCTGGCATGCATGTGAGTAAATTTGAAGTAGTTTCTATAGCTGGATGCTATTTTGTCATTGGATGACAGAACTGACTTTTTTGGCCCACAACATTAGCCTTTCAGCCAGGCCTTCAATATCACCTGAGACGGAAGATGTTGTTTACCAAGAAACAGTAGTGCAAGTTGAGATTGCATTGTCATATACCCCCTTCTAAACAAGTATGTCTGTTCCATCTTATACTTTGATCCTAGGCTTATGTGTGTCAAGGATCTAGGTTGTGGTTGAGCCTTATCCCAAACAACCATCGTAGTAAAGTGTGGTCTTCCAGGATCTATCTTGCCAGGTGGTTATGACCTACTCTGTCGGTGATCTTGAGTCAGAATCCATCTGGTTTTGCCACTTTTCTTAAAGGACTGATGAGCTTCCATGACCATTTCTGTCGGTGATCTGGAATCAGAGCCCATTTGGTTTTCTCACTTGAAATGAAACTGCACCTGATGAGCTCCCAGGCTTGTCCATCACTCTAGCCTGGACTGCCTTCTTCATCATAAATCCAAGCCAACCAACCCTGTCTTGGTTGCTGGCACTACAGAGAGATCAGGAGCCATGTGCAGGGACACATGACCATGTGATCCCTCTCATCTAATAATTCCAGTGAACTGGAGCACCAAATGGTTCGCATTGCAAACGAAAAATGGACCAAAATTGCCACAGATAAGGTCTAGAATATAGCTATTGGGCACCCCACAAGGGATGGATGTGACTGCATCATGCCATGTGCAAAGCTTGCATCCATTATTGGCTTTCTCCTTCTCGTATAAATCCCCACCATGGATCTTAGCATTCAGTAAAGCGAACTAAGCTTGAGGCAGTTTTATCTTAACGATGGATAGCGGTGTTGGACTTGTGCTGTTGATGGTATTGGCGGTGAGCTCCATGTTCTCCGTCGTGGAGGGCTTCAAGCCATCGGGATGGACGAAGGCCACCGCGACGTTCTACGGCGGAAGCGACGCCTCGGGAACGATGGGTGGGATATCCGTCGGCGTCATGCATTGTTGTATCTTGTTAGCTTAATCCAATACGGCGCTGAGTCGCGGTGGATGGTTTGTAGGTGGAGCTTGCGGGTACGGCAATCTGTACTCGACCGGGTACGGCACCAGGACGGCAGCTCTGAGCACGGCCTTGTTCGGCGACGGCGCAGCGTGCGGGCAGTGCTACAAGATCATCTGCGACTACAGGGCGGACCCGCGGTGGTGCCTCAAGGGCGTGTCGGTGACGATCACGGCCACCAACTTCTGCCCCCCGAACTACGCCCTCCCCAACGACGACGGGGGGTGGTGCAACCCTCCTCGCCAGCACTTCGACATGGCGCAGCCAGCATGGGAGAAGATCGGCATCTACCGCGGAGGAATCGTGCCGGTGATGTTCCAGAGGTGAGTCTCCTGATTTCCCGGTGACAGTCTTCGTCTTCCTGGTTTCGTCGAGTGCTCGACCGATCGGATAATGACGCAGGGTCCCGTGCAAGAAACATGGTGGCGTGAGGTTCACCATCAACGGGCTCGACTACTTCGAACTGGTTCTCGTCAGCAACGTCGCTGGCCCTGGATCGGTCCAGTCCATGTCCGTCAAGGGATCCAAAACCGGGTGGCTGCCGATGTCCAGGAACTGGGGCGCCAACTGGCAATCCAATGCCTATCTCAATGGCCAGCCTCTTTCCTTCAGAGTCACCACCACGGACGGGCAGACGCTGGTCTTCAGTGACATCGTTCCGTCTAACTGGGGATTTGGGCAGACCTTCTCCAGCCGCTTGCAGTTCAGCTGAAAGGCTGGGAAGCTTCCGAGTCTAAGATTTAGGTTGGCTGCGGCATGCGAAATATTTTGCTCGACTTGCCCGCCGTCCTGCGAAGTACGTGTGTTGTGGATCGAAGCTGTCGCTTGAAGCATTAAGAGGAGGTTATCTTGCTCGCTTCTCTTTGAAGATTAAGAGAACGTCAATGGCATTGCTTTTGCTGTGAAATAAATGCTGCGCGTTGTATTAAAAGAGAATATATATATATATATATATAACTTGATAAACTATTGTAATAACATATTTGTTGCTATGAATTTTAATAATAAGACCATGGAACCAAAAGGTACAAATGTTTGGCTATTAATCTTTTTGAATCTTTTTTAAATTAACATAGGTTATAAAAAATAATGGTAAATTATAATCATGCCACAATAGTTTGTACTGAATGTTGGAGAAGGTTTGAGTCAAGATTAAGCCTATTCTCATTAGCTTCAATAAAAGTATTCTTCAAGGCATCTTTTCCTCTCTCTCTCTCTCTCTCTCTCTCCCCCATCTCTCTCTTTGATAGAGCAGGTGTGATTCCGACTCGCTAATAATTGCTCACTCCTTCCAACCGCTGTTATCCAGGGAGGTTTTGCTGGATTTCCATCGTATAAAGATACATATAGTGGAATGTGATGACATTTGTGCTTTGGCTTTGACTAGTGTTCTTATGCCTCATCATTAATATTTCCTGTTCTGTTGAATGATTCCTCCTCTACCAATCTCTAGCCAGCATCTAGCTACTCTTCATTCAAGCTAAGTATGCAGATATGCTGCAATCAATCACTCAGTAAATGAAGTACCAGTGCGTTTAAAGTACACAATGACATAATCCAAGTCATAACTCCCTCTTCTTCTTCTCCCTATAGATTACCACCTACCCTTCACCTCCTTCAGACGACCTTTCCCTGCTAAGCTTGTGCTCCATTTCGCCATTAAGGAAAGCCCAGCCTAAGCATCTCCTTTTGCAGCTCTGCACCTTGAATCAATCTCATGGCTCAAGAGTAAAACTACGTACGCTTTATATTTATTAGTCATGAGGACTAAGCAGTGCATGCGAGAAGGTGGGTTTCTGCAGATGAGCTCCAGGTATAGAGGAGGAAGCCTTCATGGTGCAGGGCATGCACTTCTCTGCAATGTGGAGAGGTCAAAGAAGACCCCCTCGTAAAGATTGGTGTAAGAGAAGACACAGTGTCTTGTTTTGTTGATGGGTTCCCTTCCTGCATTCCGAAGGTCTTCTTGTTTGTTCTGCTTCAGTTTGTTTTGTGAAGGTCTAAAGTATGAATGCATGTCATATTCTGCAAGTTGAATAATTGTGTTTAGCTCTTTGTTGACTGTATATTTGTATATATGTAAGATTATTCCTTTTATTGTAAGATTTACTTGAGTTTGATGTACAAATCTTCACAGATGGATCATAGATGGTTCAAGTAAAGGACAAACTAATGGGTATGTAAGGCTCTGATGTTCAGCCCACTAAAAATTAAACATAGAAAATAAATTTCATTAAAAATGAGTAGCCAATGCACAAGACTTCTGAGTCATTAGTCTTATCCTTCCATATATTTAATTTGTTTCTCTGTGGTTAGTATCAATTTCATTTGTCATAAATAATTAGTGGAAGTAGTCAAATATTTTACTTGATAATGGAGTTATAATTCAGCATGTGAGTCTAATGTATAATTCTTGGCACACTAAATAGGCAATTCATTCCAGATGAGTACATCCAGGCAGCTAATGATCCTATATGAGCATATTGGTAATGCAGTAAGAAGTACTTTAGCAACAATTAAAACTGAAATTACAAGCATTATATTATCTACTAAATTTGGATATCATGTTTCTTCTCTTCTCTTAAAGTTGTCCAATCATTTAAAATTAGCAAGCAAGTGAAACCATAATTCATTTTTTTTCCTTAATATAGCAAGATTTGTGTCTCTTAGCCCACATCTCTTTGATTAGTATTACTTAATAATTAAGTAGCACAAAAAGAGAACAATATGAACCATCAATTTGCATGAAGTTGATTAATCAATCATCCAATGTCCAAACTTGAAACAATATTTGTTGATCATGTGATGCGGCCTAATTAATTGAGGGGGCCACACGCATCTATCAAAGAAATATTTAGTCAGCTTTTATGTACTCAATCGAACTGAGAAGAAAAAATTATGGAGAACTCAAAGAATATGCGCTATCTATCAAGCAATGTCATGGCATTGTCTCGGCTGCCGCCGGGGAAGGCACAGCATTGGCACCCATCGTCATCTCCTGCGCAACCATCCTCCTGCTCCTGTTGATCGTAATCAAACACAAGTACACATGCTCCTCCAGCTCTTTCAGCTGCTCCGCCATACCTGCCGTCCCGCCCTCCACCTCCCTCGCGGCCTCCCTCACGAGCTGCCGCTCCCTGTCCCTCAACACCATCCTCGCCACATCCCGCTCGTGCTCCACCTCGTCGTGCACCCGCCGCACCATCCGGCTCATCGTGTCGAGGTCCCTCCCCACGATGTACGCGCCCTTGGCCGCCGAGTCTACTTGTGCGCCAAGCTTCTCTAGGTACCTCGCTTTCCCTGCCCTCGCCCAACTCATGGCCGTCAATGGTGCTGTCGTCATTATCGCCGGAGCTATTGCCACCACAACCCCGACGCCGATCACTGTGTGCACCGCAATCACTAGTGCAACTGCCACGGCGATGCTAATGGTCAGGATTCCGGTGGCTTTCCTGGTCAAACGGATAAGTCGCGCCCTTCTGAGGATTCTCCGGTGCGCTGCCGTGAGTTGCTGCATCAGACGAGTATACTCGGATTGCGCAGAGTGAAAGTGAGCAAGGTTTTGTGGTTGGAGCGGATTCTCTGTGTTGACGAGGGAAGCAAGACGGTCGAACGCGGTGCAATCGCTGTCATCAGAACAAGCAAACGATAGTTTGTAGAGAAGATGTCGGATCGACCGATGGTGCACTCTGGTACGGTTGATGGAGGCCAAAAGATTCGTGCAGGCGGTGCAGGCCTGTAAGGTGACGTCAAAAAATTCGAGGAGGAGGGAGTGGACTTGGAGGTGGGCGCTGCGGTCGTCAGTGACGGCCGTCGCAGCGACAAGCGATTCTTGACTCGGCTCGAGAAGGAAGTCCGGGAGGTCAGCGTACGGGAGAGGAGACGACTCACTAGGCCGGCTCGAATCTAGCTTCTCCTCTGTAGAACCGCCATCGTCGTCATCACTGCCATCATCCTCCGAAGACGAGGAGGCGATAGATGAGACAGTTCGCCGGAGCTGTTGATGGACTTTGGAGCACATGTCAAGGAAAGATTTGGTTCTGAGTGTCTTCTTGTACTCCTCATTGACATTCAACGGGCTCCGATAATGGTTAGGGTTCCTCGCCATGGAGAGCTGTCCTCCTGTGGGAAGAACGAAGAGGCAGACAAGCAAGAAAAGCCAGAGAGATAAGTCCTGACATCATCAGCATGCTTACTTGAGGAGAAAGTAATGCAATCGTTTAACTTCCTGTCATCTCACCAAGAAATGATTCCTGCTATTGGCTTTTTATTATTAAGCTTTAATCCCATCTTAATAAAATTGAGATACGACCAAACAAAAAAGAAGAGATTAAAATGTTCCTCACCAGCCGCTAATGAGTCGCTGGATTTGGATTTGGATTTGGATGAGGAAGAATGCATCCACTTCCACCGCATCGCCTTCTCTTCCAAACTTGACGCTCGTACTTGCAGCGAAGCTCACAAAATAGATGCAGAGCCTATAGAACCTGCAATGACTTGAAAGCTTCAAAGCGTCAGCTGCACTGCCGTATATATAAGGCAACCAGAGTCTGCCGGAAGAGGAAGGCAGGCAGGAGCTTTCTTAAAAGGCACGGGAAGAGGCGGCTGCAGAGTCCCCACCACCACAGGACGAAGCCGTGGCACGCGTAAGAAAGCTATGGATTCCTCCTTCCTCCCCACGCGCCTCCATCTAACTGTGATTGCCGCGTTATCTTCCTTAACTTTGCCTCCCTCTTCCTGCCAACAAGCTTGCATCTGAGTGCAAACGCCACAAGCACACGCTACATGGTGAAGCCTCGGCCACCTCTCTATCCTCTTCCACTTTCTCACGCTCCTCCTCTCCCTTATCCCTGTTTCCCTGTGATTTTATCTTTTATGGCCATGTAAATCCACAGAAATCTACTGTTTCAGCACATAAATAGAGTCGATTTGACAAGGGAAGCAAGTTAAAAGTCAATTTAGCATGTAACTTTATCAAAAGTCAACATAATTCTATAAATGTATCTGATGGATGTTCCATGTATCGAGAAAAACACTCAAGCTAAGAATATTTTTCCATGTTTATAAAAGAAAATCAAATCCTTTATCATATAAGAATAATTAGCTATCAGACAAAAATCAACATTCTCTCTTGAATGAAATCTTGTGCATTAATTTTCACAACCTCAAGATCTTCGAAGAGAAAGAAAACATAAAGAAAAATTAAGAACGGTATTGGAGCATCTAATCCTTGACTTTGAAGGAATCATCTTTCTTCATCAGTATTATATTTGAGAGTTGAGCCTTAGGATATCTTTCATGCTAATATTAGGCCATCTTTATCTAGCTGTGGCCTTCAACGGGAACTCCGGAGAGAGAAACGGACATGTTTCCGTGTCCACATATATATAGAAAACAAGGTTTGGTAATATAAATGTGACCATCGAGGAAGTCGTCAAACAGAAATAATGGAGACATCATACTATAATTCGGAAATCATGTTGTATTATATTTGTAGGACGAGCAAGTAGAAACTTTGTTGAGTGACTTGTTGCATTATCATCTACATAGCTAAAAATAAGATGCTCATGAAGGTATTGGTTTCTTGTGGAGTCGGGGTGAAAACCAAGAATCGAGTTGCTTCCGAAGCTCAAAAACAAGATCTTTAATGTTTATAATGTATATGAATTTATATTATTTCTGAAAATTAAAAGAACAGGAAATAACCCGTATAATGCAAGAAATATTTGCTACAAAAAAAAAAAAAAGATTGGGTTTGAGTGGGCACGGAGTGCACTTCACCATCAACAACATCCTCCTCCTCGTCCTCCTCCTCAGGATCTCAATCTGACACAAACAAAGCTACGCAAGGTTCAACCCCTCTCATGCATATCCAACTAATGACGGTGGGGCACATGTCCTGTCTTCCCGGTGACTTGGCTGCTGCTCAGTTTTAGTTCCTCAAGAAAAGGTTTCCGTTCCGTGCGATGGGCGGCAACAGAGACGAAGAGTCGTGATTCATGTGAAGCGATTGGGTCACACGCGGGTCACGTCCGAGTCGAGATGCATGCGATTGTGATCCAAATTTCCAGCTCACTGTTAAGCAGGACTTGGCGCACCGACGTCAGCCGCAGGCCAAGTCAATGGCATGACGACTAATGCCCCGTATTGTGGGGCCCACGTTGCCGACCACTTTACAGAAAGTCAAAAGGTCACATAAATATTGCGTATGCTGATTTGGGCCACGGTGGCGACCAGTATCGTGGGGCAGTAGCGTTCTGGCAAAGTTGGAAGGCGTGACGTAGTGGTAAGAAAATAATACCTTTTTTGAAGACTTGGACGTATAAGGTTTAGGCTATTTGATTCGAAATGATACTGGGACTGTTTGATTACATGTTGTAAATATTTTGAAAGGAGAGATTGCCTGCACTTGGAACTGATACCTATGCTTGAGGTATTACGACTTGCCTTGGAGTAGGGGGTGGACTTCTGATTATTGAAATCGACTCATTTGAGATGGTCAAGTTGTTGACACCTTCAATTATCTCTCATTAAAAATTATTTAACCTTGTTAGAACGATTAAATGATTATTGTGCTGATTGATTGCTTGCTTGCTTTTGCCAAGTCAATCAAAAATTCTTATTTTTGAAAAAAACATAAAGATTGTATATACCTTACTCTCGAATTACTAAAATGTCCATTCATATAGTCAAGACAATATTTGTGGCTAATAAGAGAGAAAAAAAAAAACAACAGAAGGTATTTAGAGTTGACAAACCTACACATGTATACAGTATATTATAGCATTTAGCAGATGTACATCAAAAGTTGTCCTTGTTTACTTTGAACATTTAGGTATAGCACACACTCGCACTAATCTTGACAGGTTGGATATATGACAACTAATCAATGCATACCATAATAACAGTTTGAATCACTGATGTAATAAAATTAATCAACCATAATAACATACCTGCCAAGAGTCATACTGGAAACAAATGTTTTACAAGGAAAAAATGGAGGCCTTCCCTAGTTGAAACATATCCTCAGGACCTTAAAAGATGCAGCTTAGTATGAATCCTTGGTTATCCCAAAAAGAAAAAAAAAAACTTGGTTATAGCTGATGCTTTAATTATTATTTTTGGGGATCCAGCTGGGGCCTAAGACTACATGATCATTGGTTGACAAATCTGAAAGAGCTGTGGTGTAGCATTGTCACTTTCTTCTTGCAACTGGCAACTCCTCTGTTCAGATAGCAGTTACAGAATCCTGCACCAAAATGCCTCTTATAAATGGATACAACACCAATGGCGCACAATGAGGGTGTGACTTTATGACGAGAATCTTGGCAACATTCTGGTTCTACATGCAGAAAGCAAATTCAGAGAGATTTTGTAACTACAATCAGATGATACTGGGCTCCGATGACTAAATTTAGTGCTAGCCAACAATAGGCTTTAGAAAATCCACGAGCAATATAAAAACGAGAGTCAACTAGGAATAAGTTGTTTTACAACGAACGAGAAGGATCAGAGACCATAGTTTTATATTTCCTTTTAAATGGTCAAAGAAGCCAACAGGTTGCAAGAAGCACACTTCAAAGTAGCACAACACATTTTTGAATGAACTTAAGAGCAAAACATGTGCAACTGTAGAATTGAATGCAAATACTAACTTTATGCCCAAACTCAAAAACGTGACACCGGTAGCAATTGAAACGTTATTATACATGTCAGTCTCCACAGTCAGCTTCTGTCTAGTAGGTGAACAAGATAGTTGATTATATTTGAGAATGAAAGCTCCTAATTAGTGTGACTCCATTGTCTGGATGCGAAAAACAGAAATTATGAATGAAGATCCACAGATTGGTCAAGAGAGGTCTGAACAAATAAAGGATGAGAAAGGACAGGAACAGAGTGAACACACTTGCAGTGAATAGATGCCTTGTGAATGACCTTGGTTCACCATCTGAGATTACATGTCCATATTTGACTTTCTAATGTTAAGTAGGATTGATAAAATTCTACCTTTGACAATTAAGCAAGGAAGGGAATACTCGGTGCAAAGTATAAAGATTGGTTCACCATCTAAGGTTACATATCAAATTTCCATGTTTGAGTTAAGCATGTTTAATAGGATTAGCAAAATTTCACCTTTGACAGTCTGTTTATTTGTCCAGTGATAAGTCATAAAAGACAATACCTTTGTTGTCTCAAGAAAGGCCTCTCAATTTCTTGTAGTCTTCATGGCTCAATAAGGAATCTTTGATCTTGGGCCAATCTATTGGCTTTGGCATTATAATTGCTATGTATCCTTCTCTGTCAGCCTACGCATACAAACATGTACATGGATCAGAAAATAAGAGATAAGAAATCTGTATTTTAACACTAAAATGATATTCTTATTCTGCTGCTAAAGAGGCATAATTTTCACGTTGCTATACCACAATAGAAAAATGACTAACGCACAATAAGCCATATACTAATCATTTAGATTTCTATATTGAATATTTCGAGTAATTTAGCTTTGTGTGTGTCAGATTATCTACAAAAATAAATAAATAAATATCCATATCATTTCTTGTATATAATTGATATTATTTGGTCTTCCTTGCCCTAAATTGAGATCTCTAGCTTCATTGACCTAAATCAATGCACCAGTGCAATGCTCACACATTTTCTTCTTGCTTTGTGTTGCATCTAACGTTTTGCAAATGCAGTCATATCTTGCTCTATTTACTACACATACAAGATATCCATTATGATAGTCTCTTCTCAAATAAACTAGCTTTTAATATACCCAGTTTCCTGAATGTTTAAACCTCTGACTAATAAAGAATTTTTGGCTTCTATCTTATAAGATTTCAAAACAATAAAGTCATATTTGCCTGCCACATACAATTTTAACCACCCTGCACCAGTAATACAAGCAATATTAATATATGCTTTTCATCAACTGAACAATATATATTCAGCATATATTCAACAAAACTGGTCCTGATAAATGTTCTATTGGATTCTTTCTTAAAATCAATTCCTTTCATCAATTTTTTGGTTTGTTTCATGGTTTTTAATTTCATTTCGACCAGTATGTACTGGGTGATATTTATCAGTCCGAAGCTAAATATATATGCAGACTATGCCTTCTTGCTTGGTACAGTTTAATATACAAGTTTCTGGCCGGTAACCTACAATTTGGCTTCCTACTTGGTTAAAAATAATTATTATATTTTAATTTTAGGGTTAGAATCTTTAACAATCTCTCTCTCTCTCTCTCTCTCTCTCTCTCTCTCTCTCTCTCTCTCTCATGAAAGAGGATTTCTCCTCACACTGTTGCTAGTCTGCCAAATACTCCTCTTTTCCTCCTCCTAGTCCATTCCTCTCCCTCCTCCTCTAGCTCTCATCCTCCCCCTCCTTTCCTCTCCTTCTTCTAAAATAATTGTCTAAAATAATAATCACAAGAAATATCAAACTACAAAAATTAAAAACCACATCATAAATTTAAAAAAAATCCCCAAAAATGACTTCTATCTGATCACTGATCAGATAGATTGTTGTACAAAATCAGGACCACGCATTACGTATTATCTTCATGAGGAAAAGGGGAACTCATACTTACTGATGAATTAAGTAGATCAGGTTGCTTAAGTAATCTGTCATTTACCTCTAAGAGGGAACCTTTGACACAACACCTGCAGAAATCAGTCACCAAAATGATATATCTAAACATCACTACGGCTTAAATTTGAAGACAAACAGAGCTCCAAATTTTCCAACCTCACAATAAATTCTTTGCCATTTGCACAAACTTTACACAATGAAGTTTTGGCATCGAAATGCTGTGCATTCTGCAAAACCAAGCAATTCCATCATCGCTCAAGCCTCAGCAAACAACAATCCATCAAGCTTAGCACTTCAACTAATCGACAATCTTCTTCAAAGTTCACTTACCCTTTTGCGCTTTCCGGTGACCTTCATCTCGCTCCGGTCAGATTTCCCCACATTGAAATTCACAGCTGTTACGCCACCTTCCTCTCTCAAGGCGACATGGCTTGGAGCCAAACCGACTACACACAATCTATGATCATAACCCGGAACAAAAATGGAAAACATAGACAGATTATGTCTCAGTTTACAGAGTGGTAAAGAAAAGTCTGGTTTTGGTTCATGTCTTGTGTTACCCATTGGCATGGCGATATACGTACTGATCATGCCCTGGCTTCAGAAAGTCTGAGTAATAAATTTTATGAATTTGAGAGTTCCTCTTCGAAATCCTTCGATCGTTGATGAAAATTTCCCAAGGTTTAAGGAGTACCTGCGGCATAGTAGCGAGCGAAGTTGGACTCCACAGCCGATGGAGGAATTGACGGGAGATCCTTTACATCTGGTATGAGAAGAGACCTGAGCTCCTCGTCTTCTACTATATTGTCCATTTTCTCTAGAGCATCGCTCTGTAGGGGTTCGCCCTCTTCTCCACCCCCTTCCATTGTCGAAACAAAACGAGGTCTTTCGAAGCCGAGAAAGGTTCTTATGGGTTCAACCATCAAGTACCCAACGATCAGGATTAGATCTACTGGAGGCTTAAGGTAAATCCAACGGTGTCAGTTTATTTTCTTTACATGGATTCCTTAGCAGCGGCCGTGAGAGAAACCCATTAAAAAACCCTGATCTGTTGTCGGTCGAGTAACAAAACCTCATCTGAACCCTAATCTTAATCTCGCAGAAGATGGCGTTCGCAGGGCGGTGGTTCGTGTGGCCGCGAAAAGCAACCCGGGGGAACGACACTCTCCAACGAGGCTCTGTGCCGATCACGGTCTCGCTGACGCCGCTCGTCGCCCTGTTCCCTGCGAGGAGGAATCTCATGAAGTCTCATGTATGATCGGATCCCTAATCCGTGGCTTTCTCTATTGTAGATTCTCAACTTCGTTTTGTACATCAAATAACTTGAAATAGAAGAGGTGTAAGTTCTCATTGAATGGGAATCATATGAAACTTGCTCCTAATTATCGAAGAAGAAATGCAAATTTGAATCTTTTTGGGTAGTTTTTTCTAACAGTGCAAGAAATTGCACTGATGTACAGAACGCAATATCTCATAGTTGATCCCTTCAAGAAGTCTCACGTCGAGAATCTATTTCTTCTTATTTAGATTGGCATTATGTATAGAAATATGGGCATCAGCCAATTGTAAGGGCATTTTTCATGTACCTCAGAGAATCCTCTCATCCATCGTTAGCATACTTATCACCGTAAAATTTATTGTTGCTAGTGTCTCAGCGTATTTTTACCTAGAAAATATTTTACTATATTGGATAAGAAATCATTCGTGCTTTTCTGTTACTCTTTTTATCTTTCGCTTTTAGTAGATTTTCTTTTGTTATTTTACTGTTGTAGTTTGTTGGCTCTATTTCATGATATCATGTGAAAAGTAGCTGTAGCTTTCGATTATCCTATCCGTATAGTAACATTAATAAATGTTGGATGTGAGGAGGTGCACTGGCGTTTTTTGGTTTGGAAACTTTCTTGTGCTAGTGGCATAATTTTTGCTTCTTGAGTACCTTTTTAGAATTTAAAACTAGCAAGTAATGCTTATACCTTGCCTTTTCATTGGTGCTATGCTTGTTCTTTTCTAACTTCTATTCAGATGCTTGAAGGTGGTAAATTCTTGTCATCTCAATAACATATATATTTACCTCAACCTGATGAATGAAGATCATGTATGTGCATAGAAGCTTGATTATTCTGCCAGCATAAGATTTGGGACCTTTTTACTATATTATTACTTGTATTCATGTCGCCATATGACTTGTAATTTTTCTTAATTTTCTGATGGTACTCGATGAAGACTATGAAATATATTGAGCTCTGCTATAGACATTTATACAGGACATGCAATTTGTCAGTCTTTAACTAAAATTTTGGTTTCTTAATCCCTAGGAATATATGCAGTTAGATTTTCTGGTTTCTTGAGGTTACATAGGACTGTTATCTCAGCCCTATGCGTTCAGTTGGTGCCTGCATTAATGGACCCAATCTTTGGAAACTTAGATTTAATGCCAAGGACTGTGGAATAAGTGGTTCAGCCTTGTGTTTAAGGGCTGCCAGAGAGCACTAAAGGCCTGGAATTTTTTTTTTTTTTTGTCTCAGATCATCTGCCCTTATTAAACAATAAAGTAATAATTTTGAATGAACTAGGACTTTGATGAATATATCTTCCTTGGAAAGAAAACAAGCAATAGTGTGATACATCATTTGTTTGATGCATGTCTTGTGTCGCTTGTCATAGATGTTGGTGTTTTCAGTTTTACATTGCATGACTCACATTCTAAAAAGTTTTGAACACTAATAAAACATCATCATTTTGTGTAGTGAAGTCACGAGTTGTTTGGGCGCTCGCCCAGGCGAGGCCCGAGCGCTCGCCTGGGCCCAAGCGTTGAGCGAGTTGAGCGGACACCTGGTTAAACTCATGCCAGTTCGAGCTTGAGTTGAACCAAAGAATCGTATCTGATTCGATTAAACTAATTAGACCCTTAATCGGTGGCTGCAGAGTTCGATTAAAACATGTCCACACACGAGACCTAATGCAGAAACCCTTTCTTACATGGTTTTTGTAGGCTAATTACAGATTACCCCATGTAGTTAAACCTCCTTAGCATTCCAATCCCTAGACTTTGAAAATTTACATTGAAATCTCTATAATTTTGAAAGTGGAACATTTAACCTCATCTACCCTAACATCGTTGGCTTTACTGATGAAAGATATAATACGTGACAGCATGTTCATGAATAACACGAAAACGATAGGCAAAAGGGTAATTTTATTGGTGATGGTGAACAATAGTGCCGTGGGTGGCTGTTGTGGTGGTGGATGGCAAAAACAACACAGTAGTCGACCTTGTTGATCTTGATCTAAACATTGACAACGAGGAAGCAGAGCAGTAAGACATGTGCATAACACGCCTCATATAATTATGAAAGTGAAATATTTAATCTCATTTATCCTAATATCGTTGGCTTTACCGATGAAAAATAACACGTGACAAT